ATTCTCTTTCATGCCTTCAGGCCATTAAAAACCTTTCTTGTAAACATCCACTTTTAATAGAAATTATTGAATTGTTAAAGTACTGTAAACTTATTGTCTGAAAGGATAAGTGAGTCCCAAAACATGCAAAGTAAATTAAAACTTTCCACGTTATTATCGTAGAATACGTGTCTTTTTAATGTACTAACGGCTTAAGGGATTGTGTAAATCCAGCAAGGGTCCATGCAGGAAGCAAATGTAGTGTAAGTCCCCATGGTCCCAAGTATGGTGATCTACCTTCACTTGTTGGCAATATATAGCCTGTTTTTACCTTGTATTGTCATCTATAGTTGAACTGTTTTAGACCTAATTACTAGTTTTAAATTCGAATCAGTGATAATCTAGTTATTATACTTTTCTTCGTTGACAGGTTTTTACAATTTACCATTAATTCCTATGCATCGAATTGATTGTTCTCCTCACGATATGGCTGAAATATTGCCCATGTGACGATATATTATAACTCATTCACTCACTCAAATTTCTTTTTAAATACAACGACAAAGATTTAATAAGTTTTGTGTCAGTGGATGCTAGCAGTTGATACAATATTATAATAATATTATAATAATATTCAGGTAAAAACAGTTGTCTGCTTGTCTTAGAATAAGGAAAAGTAAATAAAAAGTGAAATTCGTCTTCAATGCAGTCCAGGAGACATTTTCTACAAAACAATGCATTGGGGTCATCATAACATTTAAATCTACCTAACTGAACTTTCAATTTATGAGATGCACAGCGATGCACTGAAAATATCTGTTTTACCTTCTTTCACCTTGACACAAGCCTCGACCTTTCAATACATATCACAAAGAACATTAAATAATTTACCACCTATACCCCTTTCATGAAGAACATACAAAAGCTTTCGTCCATTAACTAAATCAAAGGCTTTGCGAGAGTCAATGAAGGCTACATGAAAATTATGTTTTCTTAAAGATTACGGACATAGTGCCGGTTGTCAATTGTCGAATAATTTCAATCCACTTCCTGATTTTTTCTTCCACAATTGAGGTAAAACCTTTACCTAAAATATTTAAAAGAGATATGCCACGATAATTATTAGGATCCGAAGCCGTTCCCTTTTTAAATACAGTGACAACCATGCCAATATTCCAACTGTCTGGAAAAACACCACTATCCAAAACTGAATTAATAAAAATTCAAAATATGGAACAAAGACTCCAGCCTTTTTGACGAACTCAGGTTGGATGCCATATACACCGGCTGATTTGCCATTTTTTATTGAAGTTAAAACTTTCATAATCTCGATTTGTGAAATTGGATTAGATAATAAAAGGAATTATCACAACTACCGCAGCTCTCAATATCATGATTGGTTATGAAATTTGTAACAGATTCATCAAACACAGAGTGGTTATCCAAAGTATCAGAATTCAATAAATTCCTAAAATAATCAAACCAACTATCAAGTGCAATGGACGATTCCTTATCCTTAACACTCAAAAAACCTTTTAAGTTTACGCCAAAACTGTTTACAATCCTTTTCAGCACTAGCCGATTTAATATCATCAACCAGATGCTCTTTGTACAACTGCTGCTTAGCACGAAACAAATTTCGAAACTCCTTTCCTACAATGTACACCTGCTGCTTAGCACGAAACAAATTTCGAAACTCCTTTCCTACAATGTACAACTGCTGCTTAGCACGAAACAAATTTCGAAACTCCTTTCCTACAATGTACAACTGCTGCTTAGCACGAAACAAATTTCGAAACTCCTTTCCTACAATGTCAAAATGATTTAAATAATAGTGGAAAGAATTATAGTCACATAATGAATGGATACCGTGAATGTTCCAACTGCACACATTTACATACCCGTGTTGATGTGTAAATCCGACATTGTCCTGTGTGTGTTTGGTGGCATGCGAGTCACTGCAATGCACGCCCCTAGCTACTAAACTTGTCAAATGTCCCCGGCATGGGGCAAGCGATTGATCCGAGGGGTTGTGTTTCGGATGTTTTTGGTTTCCTTTTCATCTCTGTAAGCAGGTTGTCCTTGAGAGTAAACACTTTGACCTCGACTATCAACTTGTCACATGACAAGTGAGACTCACTGCAGCTCTCACTCGCCTCGATCACGTGTGGTACGAGATCACTTCTGACGTCACGTACTCTACGGGTGACGTCGTTAACCACGCGTTGTTCCTTGCCCTTCAGTGCAGCTCTAGATACCATCGACGTGTCCACGGCCACTGTTTCGTTTGGAAGACTGTAGAACACAATCAAGGTACACAGACTAATGAATCATGTAATTATAACATGAACAATCTCAGTTGGCAGTCAGTTTTGGCACTTGAGGAAAAATCTTAACTGCATACTTAGTAGTTGGAGTTTGTAAGTATTAGCAAATCACAACCATTAGGTCATTATAATCAATTTAAAACATTTTGAAAGTATATAGCTAAATTCAAAACCTTTCATAACAAGAAGGAGACAGTGTTTTTCCTGATACAGGATAGTGAACAATGAATATCCAAAAGCACTTGACAGTTAACACCGTCAATTATTGTACAATTTACATGTCAAGAAATGGCTTTGCATGTTCTCTAAAGAATGTACATAGCTATTCTAGCATACATGTCATGTATTCAATGTCTGGGAAAATACGCTTAACGTACAGGTATTTTTTGTGTAACCACAAATTCACAGAACTCAGACCCCAGAACTTGGGCATAATGAGCATGTCTTTTGGATAGTTTGAGGCTGGCCCTTTCCTCTTGCAAAAAAAATATTGGTATCATGCTTCTTCAAGTGTGAAGTGTTGAGCCGAGTACGGGCATTTCAATTTCAATAATTCTGTTCTCCTGTTCAGGACAAAATATCTTACCATCAGCAGTGGCTCAAAGGAAACTGAAATTATTGTTGATTACAAGTCCACTCTCGTGTAGATAGGTTGAGACTTGTGTTCTAAATGTCCCTTCTTTGCCTGTACTTTGTTGTTCTTCCCTTAGGAAAGACATACTGAATGGATAGAAGTATTGGGAAATAGACGAAGGAGAAAAGATAGCGTAGGTTTTTCCTTCTGTTCATAACTTTTCCAAAGTTAGAAGCTGTAAGACGATTAGATCTAATCTCTTTCGAAAGTCTACTCTCAGCCTGTCCTCATGTCTCCTCCTCTACTTTCCCAGGGTCTGTAAGTTGATACTGGGCGTTAAATCTTCATACCCAGGAGGGAGTTGTTTAGGTGACTCTTTCGGAAACTAGATAGGGACGTAGCTGATACTGCAGGTATGAAATAACAAAGTTCATCCTTGGAAATAATAACTTTAAGCAGTGGCACAATCTTCTACCAAATGACTAATTAGCCTGTTATTTTTCAGTCACCACTCCACTTGAGCAACACCAGACAGTCCAAAATCAGAATCTTAGATTCCAGGTAGAAGATCAGGGGCTACAGATCAAGGACCTGAAGACAATTTTGAAGGAAAAAGACAAGGGAATTGTAGAGCTGAGGGAGGAGATATACTGAAAGCCATTAAAAATGCAATTTGACATTCATACTTTCTTTACACACACTAATTTCAACATATATAAACCTAACTGGCAGATATGTTTTAAGTGAACATCTGTGAATAATTTCATCTGAAAATGTCCAGTCAACAATGTTCAACATCAGTGACGCAACAACGACATCACACAAAGGAGGGGTCACTTGCAGTCAATATCGTGTGTGTCCACCGTGCGCTGCAAGACATGCTCGCAGTCTTTGGGGCATTGAAAGTCACACATTTCTCAGGAACAGCTGTTGGATGGTCTGCAACCTCTGATGGTCTGTGGTCTGATCATGACACCACCCCCCCCTCCAAAACGATCATGTTCAAGGACACAGTTTGGCGCAAGTCTTTCTCCTTTACGTCGATAAATCTGTTGACGTCCATCTGCAAAGGATAAGTTAAACCTGGATTCATCTGAAAAAATGACATTTGGCCATGTCCTGTTGCCAAGATTGGCCCCATTTGCTGCCCATCGCTGTCTGGCAAGTCTGTGGCGATGCAATAAGGTTGGACCACGGTACGGGTGACGACACCGGATGTTGAAGGCAGCAAGGCGTCCTTGCACCTTTTGGGCTCTGAAATGACGTTGACTTGTCCCAATTGTCCTCCTTGCCTAATCATCAGCTGTTTGGAACCGATTTCGCAAGTGTGAAACTCGGATATTGCGGCTTTGTCGAGCTGTTATCACAGGTGGTGCACCAGGTCGCGGACGATCAGCAACACTCCCGGTAGCCCGAAAACGTTGTCTGAGTCGACTTACAGTAGATGGATGCACATTAAAGTGCCTGGCAATCATCACATCTGAACCACCGTGGCTGACCATACCGATAACCTGATTCCTTTCGTCTTGTGTCAAATGTGGCATTGTCTCAAAGTGATTGACTTCCACAATTCCTTGTGCTTTTACAGGGCCTGGGTGCAGGTAATGCATGTGCACAACGTGTTTCATGAATGTGGTTGTGTTTCCGAGAAATGTCACAGGTTCAGTTTTAAGTATCAAAGTTCATATGAGAGGAATGCTCCGGGACTCGAACTCGAAATGGGCCAGAATAACAGCCTTTTATCCCTACATCCTCTGTATCGCAGGAAAAAATCTTCAATAGAACTTTTGTAAGTTTCAGGACAAAAAATACCAATTGCGTTTTTAATGGCTTACAGTATATAATGTGACCAGTGTCTAAGAGAGACCAGAGCGCAAAGCGATCTTAGCGCTACAACTATCTTAAAACCTATGTTGGAAAATGGGAGTTACAATCATTGTAGCGCTAAGAACAATAGCTGTGAACGATCTTCTCAGCACTTGTGTTAGTCCTCAAATGGAGGGTATGCGGGCTCTGACATGCGGTGGTGGCCCGATGGTATGCATGGATATAACTGGACTGAGTTTGCTTTCGCATGTCGAAGCGTGATCTGGGGTATGGTGCACTGACTGAGTCATGTCATGGCTAATAGTATCAGCTCCTGCTCTGGCAGCTACATCTACACTCGCGTGTCCTCCTTCAACTCCTGGATTCAGGGACAGTAAAATGCACTCCTTGTAGAGTCACAGGCGTTTCACTGTTTCATGAATAAAGTGCACAAAACATTCAAAATAAGTTGTTCAGTCACCTGCATCGATACGTCTGGCAAATGTCTACACTCGCGTTGAAATATAAATCCTCCTTCAACTCCTGGATTCAGGGACGCCACTGTAAAAGCATGCACTCCTTGTAGTTACAGTCATAGCGTTTCCTGTTTCATGAATGACTGGAAGTGCACAGCCTACCCCAGTGTCTACACTTCAAAACAGTAAAATGCACTCCTTGTAGAGTTGGCGTTTCCTGTTTCATGAATAAAGTTTTGAATGAAGACAACAAAGTCTGTATGCACATAAAATGAAACACCGAAAACAAGTAGGGTTGGTCTAAGTTAACGCTCGTCACGTATGGCACGTACATTTGTTTCACTGTTCCAACTACTGCACTTACCCCCATGTAATACAAACCAATAATGGCGATTTGAATTTTATTATCGTTTGTTAAACAACTTTTGAAGTTGAATAAAATTCTGAGATTTAAAGGTTCAATAATAAATTGGCAAGGTAAAATTATGAGGATTCGCAATCTTAATTTCACTTTATTTAACTTACTTTTTTGTTTAAAGTGAAAATCATCGGTACGATTTCACTGCAAACAGACTGTAATGTGCTTTATTGTTACCTTTACACTCACTAACTCACTAGTGTCACACTATCAACAACTCTGATACTGACCTTGACATGTTCTGTCAGAAGGACGTAATGGCCTTTGTGTCGAAATCAAGACTCTTTGTAGGTGGAATAATCTTTAACGATACGATTAACGCCATTCCACCTCGCGCAACAGGTATTGTGGTAAGTGTAGGCAATAATTTTCATAGGTAACAATGTCGGGCGACACCGGTTTCTGATACAAGACAAACTTTATCACTTAAAAATTGTATTGCACTCCCAGCAAACGATGACTCATACCAATCTAGACTAAAACTAAATTTACCCAGAAAACTGCTCGCAAGAGGTTACAATGAGAACAAAATTTAATCTCACTACTAAATAGAATAGCAATGGTAAGGGCTTAGTAGGTGGAATAATCTTTAACGATACGGTTAACACCATTCCACCTCCCGCAACAGGTATTGTGGTAAGTGAAGGCAATTTTCAAAGGTAACAATGTCGCGTGACACCGGTTTCTGATACAAGACAAACGTTATCACTTAAAAAAATGTATTACACTCTAAGCATGCGATGACCAATCTAGACTAAAATCTCGCCTCTGAAATGAACATATGTTACGAAAAATAAACAGGTAATAAATTATCTTAATAAAATATAATATAACGGAGCTCGGCAACTTTCTTTGACATATTCTAGACTTGCATGGGCTGTATTGGGCAGATGTCTTTCAGGTTATTGTATGGTAGACTGTTAGAATTAACTGTAGGTTAAAAAAAGTATACATTTGTGTTACTATTATACAAAATCATACGTGTCGATCTCATCTAAAATTAATTCCAAGACTTGACATCGGAATACTGGCTCCCTGTTAATGAATCAGTCAAGTAATCACTCTGAAGTGACGGTCGCCTACGTCGATGCACTTTGACTCACTATGTTTTTTTTGCGAAACTATGTATGAGAAGAGTTACTTCCCTTTATCATTTTTATGTTTCTCAAAGAGAACGTGGATTCTCTGTTTTGAAAGGCGGTGTATTAGTGTCACGGTGTACAAAAAAGTAATTAATGAGCTTACAACGTTTCGGGAATCGTTTAACTCCTTCTTCAGGCGAATGAAAGTTTGGAAGCAGTGAGTTATATATCTACATGTGAAAACACCGACAGTGATAAGATAACAAAGGTAGACACTTAACAAGGGAAGCCAGTAGTTAACTTGCGTTGAATGGAAATCGCAAAGGACGAATGTAAGCGAGGTGTAAATTCAGGCGTAAATTGTACTGATAAGGTTGGTTGGTTGTTTAGATTATCACAGATACAAAATTAAAGAGTGAGTGAGTTTAGTTTTACGCCACACTCAGCAATGTTCCAGCTATATGGCGGACGTCTCTAAATAATCGAGTCTGGACCAGACAATCTAGTGATCAACAGCATGAGCATCGATCTACGCAATTGGATACGATGACATGTGTCACCGAAGTCAGCGAGCCTGACCACCTTATCCCGTTCGTCGCCTCTTACGACAAGCATGGGTTATTGAAGATCAATTCTAACCCGGATCTTCACGGGTCCTGATGGTAATAACATAACGGAGGGCAAGTAGGTAATTAGGCAATTACTGCTGATGGGTGATAGCGATAGACCTGGAAGCCGTCTTGGAATTTGATCTGTGAGGATTTCTGAGGGCCTTTGCATCTACGCCCAGGAGGTTGAGCTATTAAAAGTATTTTTTTCGCTGTCCCGCTTTTCATTGCTGGGACAGTCATTTGCAATGGGTAAGCAATAATACTGTAATTCAGTTTGAATTGTGTCTGCAATTTTTCTGCAACTATACTCATTATGGACACATAGAAGTTTATATTAATTTCGTCAGCTTTGTCAACTTTATCCATTGTCAGGCATTTTTTCTGGGTATCAATTTTCTACAGGGATCAGTGTCACGAAACACCGGGTCATAATCAACCCTTTGTTCCCAGCATATGGGAGCGAATGTGTTGACTGAGACCTACATTTGGTGTATTCACACAATGTATGTCCGTTAACTAAGCGAACACAGACCACGCAGACTCATCAACAATGACAACACCTACATCTCATCAGGTACGAAACCGCCTCCGTGGTGTAGTGTTTAGAGCTTCCACCTGGAGAGCGGAAGGTCTCGGGTTCGATCCCCGACCGCGTCATACCAAAAGACGTTAAAATATGGTACTTGTTGGTCCCCTGACTGGCGCTCGGCATTAATGGGCACAACAAGGACTGGTCGGCTTGGAGTCAGTATGATGTGTCTAAGTGGGATATTCATGCTTCACTGCGGCATGGTATCTCAGTGGGCTAGCACTATAAAACCAGCTTAAGTCTGGGCTAGTACAAGCAGCCACACATACACACACACATGCATGCACATCGTCATATGAGCGAAATATTCTCAAGCACGACGTTAAACCCAATTTCATCTCACCTCACTTGTCAATTAACAATTAACTGCCAGGTAGTACTAACTTTATTGAGATATTAATTACTTAATACGCTACTGGCTTTTGTGTGTGGGGGGGGGGGTGGGTGGTGGGTGGGGGTTTGTGTCATATTGTGTGAAAAAAATAAATAGAACAATTACCTCATTCACGCCATGCCACAGTATGAATTCCTTCATCTGGAATGTTTATCATTATGGTCATTATTGTCTTCTTTGATTTTCCATCTGTGATAATCTAATAATTTTTACTGTCCTTCGTCGACAGTTATCTTGTAATTCCATTTTATCAATCTATAACTTTTTAAGTCACGATATGGCTGAAATATTGCCGATGTGACTATAAATCTTAACTCACTCACTCACTCACTTTGATTGTGTAAGCTACAATGTACATGGATCTTTTGCGCGTGGCACTTTTTCCAAAATGACAAAGAAAAAGTACAAGTCTATCAGAAAGTATACGTACAGGGCTGTTTAATATATTGGTGCTGTTTGGGTGCCTCCGCTTTTGGTCATTTATGGACAATGGTATTTATCGGCAGATATTCGAGACTAAGTATTTGTCGAGTCATACGAATTATGGATATATTGTTTGAGTTACATTATGTATATAATTTTGAATTGTGTCATATATTATTCACGGAAAGGGATTTTCATGGATGTAATAATGTTTGATAATGGTCAATACCACTTCTAATCATCTGTTGAATATGTATATTTCTTGTGTATTATGTTCTTAAGCTAATGAATAATGTATATGTCAGTATTTGTTCACTTCAGATTAAACTTTCAATATAAAGAATAGAAACATTCTTGTGTGAGACCTAATTCCAGTCAGTCAGTCTTGGCGATACAAATTCACACGGTAAAACCCCCCATTTATAAACGATTTGTCAACTTATATAGGAATAGGTGTTCAGTAATGCGGTTCTGTCGCTTTATCATGAATTAGATGACCAAGGGTTCGAATCCGAGATTCGAGCTAATTATGATTCATGAAACATGTCCCTGATCATATGACACGTCTAAAACCTGGTCTTGTGTTTGTTCAATTTCATTTTTGTTGTTTGTTGTAATGGTAATGTGTATTGAATGCATGTGAGTATTTAATAAGTATATAAATACGCTGGTTAAATATTAAGGGAGATTTTATGTATATCGTTAGGATCTTGGCGTTGTGAGTGGTATCTGAATGTGCTTTGATTCTTTTACTGGGTAAATAATTTGAGATTTGTTTTGAACATGTGTCCAGACTTTTATCTGTGTTGTCTGTGTTTGAACAAAGTATCGTTATGATTACAGATGCAGCAGTTGAAATTAGGAACGGTCATTTTACCTGGGATTCCAATACAACACAAACTTTAAGGAAGTATGAAGTATTTCAATAATTGATACGTACAAAAAATGTCTAGTTCTTAATTCTGTCTGTATATACATACACATGGCTGTATCTTCAATTATGAAGATTATTTATATTTCTTGTCAGTAAAAACCTAAGCATCCCTGAGAGGAGTTTGGTGGCTTTGGTGGGACATGTAGGGGCGGGGAAATCTTCACTTGTAGCAGCTGTCCTGGGGGAGATCTAGAAGCTGCAAGGTCAGGTCAATGCCAGGGTATGTTCACCTGTTAATAAGGTAAATTCCAGAAAGTCCTAAACCTTGAGTACTTTCTCAATTTAAACATTTGTGCATCTTAAATTTGCCCAAAAATATTTCATCAAACACGAAAATGATAAAGTAATGATTATCCAATGCACAGGGTCGTGTTGCCTATGTGTCCCAACAAGCTTGGATCCAGAACGACACCTTGCAGAACAACATCTTGTTGGGGAGACCCATGGACAGTCAACAGTATAAAACAGTGATCAAGGCCTGTGCTATACAGCCTGATATAGATATGCTATCTGCCGGAGATCTAACGGATATCGGGGAAAGGGTGAGTAGGGAAGCTGTATACACTGGAAGAAGGATTCTAAAGACCAACCTACATTCTTTTTAAATGAGATACGCGTTTCATTATTGCATATATTTGTGATTTGGAGTCGTGAGCTTGTACTCCTTGATTTCATATCTGGTGATTGATGTTGTTGACACTTTGTTAACCATCCAAACTTACATCTGAAGTTAAGTTACTCAACATTCTAACGGGTAACTGTAATCTAAATATAAGATACTTCCCCTTACTGAGTCCTCGTGATTTGGTAGACTGTCAGTTTCACCTGAAGTCATGGCGATGCATATTATTGAAATGTTGGTAACTAAAATCAAAATTGTCCAAACAATATACTACTTAAATATGTAAACAGTGTTTTGTGTCTGCTATTAGAACATGGAATATAAATATAAAAGAAACATGAACTTGATTTTTTATTGTTTGATTTGGGGAGCGCCGCTTTCCGCCCAAAATCAGATACGCAGGTTGTTATGTGTTGAATCTCAGGTTCAAACTGAATAGTTTACTGGAATCAGTTTGTAAGTGAACTATGTGTGAAACTAGCAAACAGCAAAGTAATGTTCCGTAATTAACAATTGTATTCAAAAACAGACTGTTCACCAAATCATACACACCAGTAGAAAAGTATTCTTGTGGTAGTCCAAATTTGTGTGGCTTGCAAATTCAAAGGTAATATAATACAAGAGCAATGATAAACCATCACAGACAATGATGGTGATATTCACGTCTCGACGTGTAATCCAACTTAGGAAAAAAGGCTAAGCAAAGAGTATCCAGGGTATCATCATCACAAACAATGTTGGTTTTCTTGTGGCTTGATGTTTGTGTGAGATGAAAGTCAAGAGTTCAATCCCCTCATATACCTCTCTGAAGCAGATGATATGCTCCTTGAAGCACTTTCCAGATCATTTTGTGTACATCTAGAACAAATCTAAACATAGCATACTGCCCCTTACTGAATCGTCAGGTACAATGAGTAACAGTTGAAGCATCGTTACACAATGCTACCTCTTAACAAGGTAGAACACTGCAGATGAAGCATTGATTGTACATACTGGCACTGTACGTTTAAAACAATACAAAGCTTACTTTGAACAAGGATATATATGTGTGATAGATCACAGTATAACTAGCGACATTGTATATGCAGAATATCAAAAAAGTAATCATTAAATGTTTTTAATGTGGCTATCAACTTCAGCTGTGAGACTGCCTTGGGAGATACACACATCTGCATCACTTATTGCCTATAATCATCGTATACTGAAGAAATTTAGCTGAAATACATAGTCTGGCATATGAACCATGCATGGCGATACAGTCAAAACCAAATCCAATTAATATACTTCCAGTATATGTAACATTGCCTGCATTAGACTATAACAGTAGTTATTTTAGAGAATCATGTTTGCGTGTTTGAAAGTAGGATTTGATACACCTGATGTTCAGCTAGTCATTTGTTCATTAGACAGTACATAACGAGCTTGTAATGTGTGTTACATTGTGTATTTGTGTCCTATCTTGCATCACGTTATCAACTTGAGGGGAAAACAAAACAGAAAGAGTCTATAGCCAGAGCTGTCTACACCTCAGTATTTGTTTCCCACCTTACCTAAGAGCATCAGCTTGAGAGGAGGACAGAAGTAGAGAGTGTCACTAGCCAGAGCTGTCTGCTATCTCTTGTGTATTGTATCCGTTTCCTATCTTGTCATCAGGGTATTAACTTGAGTGGAGGAGAGAAGCAGAGAGAGTCCCTAGCCAGAGCTGTCTACTGTCTCTTGTGTATTGTGTCCGTTTCCTATCTTGTCATCAGGGTATTAACTTAAGTGGAGGACAGAAGCAGAGAGTGTCTCTAGCCAGAACTGTCTACTATATCTTGTGTATTGTATCCGTTTCCTATCTTGTCACCAGGGTATCAACTTGAGTGGAGGACAGAAGCAGAGAGTGTCTCTAGCCAGAGCTGTTTACTATGTCTTGTGTGTTGAATCCGTTTCCTATCTTGTCACAAGGGTATCAACCTGAGTGGAGGACAGAAGCAGAGAGTGTCTCTTGCCAGAGCTGTTTACTATGTCTTGTGTGTTGAATCTGTTTCCTATCTTGTCACCAGGGTATCAACTTGAGTGGAGGACAGAAGCAGAGAGTCTCACTAGCCAGAGCTGTCTACAACGATGCTGACATCTATCTGCTGGATGATCCACTCAGTTCTGTTGACAGTCACGTGGGACTACTGATTGTACCTCATGAACATTTCAAATTGAATGTCATTCAAAATCATAAATCACGCGAAGTTAAGCAACATTAGAATTACTTTACGCTAGCATTCCAACTGTCACTATGATGTATCATTTCAGGTCGTGGTGTTGGTAGCCCACAATCTGCGTTACCTGCCTGACGTTGACAACATCGTTGTCGTGGAGGACGGCACAGTAGCAGAGACGGGGTCGTTCCGCGACCTCCTCAACACTGACGGTGTGTTTACACGTGTGCTGCGATCCTACATCGCGGATTATGAAGACAACCCAGCATATTTTGAAGGTTAATAGAATACAATGTCAATTTTTTTTCAATGGATTTATACTTGTACAGAATATATTCTTATCCAGTATCAATAAATTTATGATAACTCCTCACAGTGTTACGTTATATTCGTTATTGAAACATAATTCCCCCAATGCCATGAACCGCAGGAATGATCAACAGTTTTCGTTCAAATCGTTACGTTCACTGAATGTTTTTGCAAAAATGGGATAATACTTTTTGATAGATAATAAAACGTATTATTACAACAAACCACTTTCCGAATATGCTTTTAGTGTGATCATTATTTCGAGGATGAGTGTGAGACATATTTCAAGATTTATATACATTTGGATGACAACTTTGTAACAAGCTATTTTAAATATCCATTGCAGATATTGAATCAAAACATTTCATTTATCTAGAGTCAGACCTAAAATCAAAGTTGAGAAGACTGGACAGGTTGGCAAAATGGGCACATATGTGATTTAGGGTTAGAGTCTTCAGCATGTGTGTATTCTATCTATTACAAAACTTGTCCATTGTCAGTATGATTCAAATGTACATCAGCCAGAAGATACATATCACAGCCCACCATCCCCATCCTCCTTTACCTGAGTGTGATAAGTTCGGTTTGTGTGTTGTCCATTCAAGTGAAGAGTCATCTGAAAACAAACAGTTCAGACGCCAGGCGTCCAAGGTGTCCAGACAGACCTCAAGACATCTGTCAACTTCGTCTGAAGACAAACCAGAGACCGAAGGTCGTTATGTAAAGGAGGAAGGAGTCACTGAACCAGATGCCAAGGTGTGTCATGCACACTTATATCAGTTTTAAAAAGTTTGTTGTTTAAAGTCCAGGTCGGCAATATTCGAGGTGATATATTGGACGGTTGACTGTATAAAATAGAGTCATCCCAGTCACTGATATTATGAACACCGATCTGCATATTTGGGATACGATGATAACCAAGTCAACCTTGCGATCCATTTACTCGCCTATTACGACAAATACTAGTTGCCTGGCACCGAATCTCCATCCCAGAATCTCTTCTATAACTTTTGATTGTATTAGAAAAAGTCAAACCAGGTTCAAATTTTAACAATTACATTCAACTGTTACAGCTACTGTAACAATTCCAGGTTTAGTAATTATAACATATAGCAACGAAGATCTGGGTTAGAACTGTTCTTCAGCAACCCATGCATGTCCAAAGCGGCAACTAATGCGATCGGGTGGGCAGACTCACTGACTTGGTTGACACATATCATCGGTTCCCAGTTGCATAGATCGATGCTCATGTTGTTGATCACTGGATTGTCTGGTCCAGACTCGATTATTTACAGACCGCCGCCATATAGCTGGAATATTAATTAGTGCGGAGTTAAACAACAAACCAACAACAAGTACAACAATTCCATAAATTGTCAACTTTAACTTGGATTAAATATGTACTTCTCTCCTAAGAGGTAAAAACCTGTTTCTGTAAGTTGTTAATGTATGATACAGAGTTGAAAACAGGTTCACCAATTTATTTTTTAAACTGTTACAGCTACAATTCTGGGTTATTCTAAGTTATATTCCGCAAATTGTCAACCTGGAGTAAATATGCGGTTCTGCCGTAATGCCGCTTCTCAGCAAGTGGCGGAAAAATTGCATCATGTAATAAACCGATATGTTCCTTTGTAGGAGAAGTGGTCAATTCTTCTCAAGTACATCTCCGCTTACGGCGAGTGGAACTTGCTGTTTCTTTTGGTGTGTTATGCCATGTACTACATCACATGGGTGGGGGCCAACCTGATACTGGTCAGGTGGACAAATGACCCACGTCTCCAACACGTCAACGACAGTAACACCAGTGACGCTGTGTGGAAGACAAACATGATCTACCTCAGCATCTACGGCTGTTTAGGAGTTGCATTGTGTAAGTGGACTGTGAGTGAGTAATGTGGACTGACGATGCTTGCAGTCACATATCGGTCATAGAGAGACCGGAAATGGGCCGGAGGAGAAACCGGAAATTGGTCTCTATTGTGTTGAATCCAGGCCTTCGGCATGATGACCCACACATTTATAACCTAATATACAAACGTAACAAGAATTCTTGTGCGATACAAGAAACACTGAAACGGTCTTTTTGCAAAATGAGAACCAGACATAGACCAGACTTTATACGTGCACATTATATTAAAACATTACCATAACATGATATATGTAGTTTATTCGCGTCCAGGTAAATATGAAAAATGAAATATACAAAATATAAAAGAATATAAGGTATATCTCGGGCAGAATTAATAATTTTGTTCTTGATGAATGATATTTATGGTGTTAAAACCCCAAGGCTAATTATCTCATTTACAAATATAATCTTAAAAATTCTTTAAATAGTCATATTATTGTACTCTTTGAAGTAATTCCACAAACAGCACATAAATACCATCATAGACACATACCGCATACACTAAAGGGCTACTACAGTTGGCAAGAGTAGTCGACCTAACTATACTTCTCATCAAAAGTTTAGACTTACAAGTGTAAATATAGCCAATTACTTCAGGCAACTGTTCTAAACTAAATTTTGCAAAATATTCCATACCGGTTTACACATGAATCGATGTATTGTAAAACACGTTCGTAACGTTGAAAAGATTATGTTTAGAGTTCTGTATTCTGTATATAAAAGAAACCCCGAATAACCCCACTCCCCCTTCCCTAACTGTCCTTACTCATCCCAATCCCAACCACCACATCCCCAAGCACCCACCCAACACCTCAAAGTATACATTTCAACAAAAAAAGTAGGGGAACCTGAATTTGGATAAGAAGTATATGCGTTAACAAACGTTTCAAAGACAGACATCTTATGAACGCACCACCATTCTCTTTATTAGCACAACTAAACACAACGCATGGGATGCACATGCACAACGCAGTAGCCCCATTCACGTGGAGGGGGTGTCATTCTTGATGTTGACGGTTTTCAAGGTCGATAAATCACTGTAGACCATGTATTTTTGACAATCACCTTGCATCACACAGTTGTTAATGTTTGTATCTAGCCGTTTTTTTTTTTTTTTAATGAAAATCGTACACATGCAAATTTCACGTCATATACCAACATCTTTCAAGAACGGTTACTGTTCAAACACATTTGTCAGATTTTTCTTATTGACACTTTCCTTCATAAGTCCCCAAACATTTTCTATTGGATTTAGGTCAGGGCTATAGCTTGGCCAATCTAATAATGTCATATTTTGGGTCCGAAACCAGGCCTGTGAATGCTTTGAACGATGTTTTGGGTCGTTGTCCTGCAGGAAAATCCAAAAATTTACATAGAACACTTAAGCAGATGGAAGTGAATGTCCCTCGAGAATATCTGTGTACCGCTCACCGTTCATATTCCCTTCAAATACGTAGAAGGGCGTTGCCCCGAACACAGATATGCCACCCCACACGTTAAATTTTGGACTGTACTTTGGGCGCTGATACAAAGGTTTTTCAGTTTGTTTGGTCCAGCATTTCAGTGTATTAGAAAACAGACACACAGAACTTTCATCTGAGAAAATCACATTGTCCCAGTTAAAATTTGTATGCTGTGAGCTCCAGTTCAACCTTAGCTCCTTTTGTTCAAGTTTCATGATCGGTGATGGAAATCCTCGACTTTTCTGCCAACCCATTGCATGCAGCTCAGTTCTAATTGTCTCCTTACAGACAGCCACAGTTCCTCTATCAATCATTTCCAGCCTTAAGTTTTCTGAACTCCTTCGTTTGTTTTTAGAAACAAGAATACCAAGCCGCCTCCTGTCACCGACAGTCAATTTTCTGGGCCTACCTGCGCCTCCCTGGTGCTCAATGCCATATCCATTTGCAATATTTTTCAAAACACGATAAACAAAGGGATGCCTGTTCTACTTGAAATCACTTTAGCTGATCTGATGTCCTTGTTATAATACTCTAAAATCAACTTCCTCTTCTCTAAATCATCATTCTCTAATCATACTGAGGATCAGTGAAAATGTCGTCTGCAAGCAAATAAACAAAGGGGGATAACTCTTCACAAACTAATGAAAAAGGATTAACGGAGTTGTCTTTCTTGAATGAAACCAAGCACTTGATAGCAGGTCAAGGTTGTTTATACTAGAAATCCAATTAAACATATTCCTAAAATTCTCAATAATTTCTGGTCGTACTGAAGTGCTCATCCCTGTCTTGTACATCTACAGATCACTGAATGTATGTATGATGCAATGGCAGTACAGACTTTCTTACACACTGCCAGTTTTAGTAAGATTTATCTTCCATTCGTCTTAATGATTCCACTCGTGAAGATCCGGGTTAGAATTGGTCCTCACTAAGCCATATTTGTCTTAAGAGGCGACTAACGGGATCGAGTGCTCTCTGCCCCATACTGTTCATTCAAATGATAAATGAGTAAGGATATACTCTGAAACGCTGTGTTCCTCATAAATAAAAGTTGACATCATCCATAAAACTTTCTTCCCTGATGTTCATGCTGTTGATGACTGGATTGTCTGGTCCAGACTCGATTATTAACAGACCATGCCCATATATCAGCAATATTGCTGAGTGTTGCGTTAAACAACAAACAAATAAACATAGTTAATGATTCCCTTCATCCTTTGTCATCGCATTGTCATCTTTGCATTAATGTCGAGAGGACAATATCCTAAACCCATCTGCACGAAGCCATCGTAGAAACGACTTATATATTGAGTGTGTGAGTGTAACGTTCCTTTGAACAGGCCCCGATTTCTCGAAACAAACCTGAGTATGAGTTTTGACTTAAGTTAGTTTTTACTCAAATTTCAGAAAACGCAGGAAAATGCATTTCCCAGAATGAACTGAAATCTATATTAAACTCTAACTTAGCAGACAATTTGAGGTTTGGTGGCTAGATTACTTTAGTTGCTTGGGCTTTTATATTTTCAAAATGCAGTTGAGCTAAAAATTTAGTTGTTTCAAAGTGTCAAACCTTTTTTTCAAATTTGAGTAAAAACTTGAATTCATGGTCATGCACAAATAACAGACATGGACGCAGCTCCGGCTTCCGTACCACGTCCTTGATGTTACTTCCATTCTGTAACGGTGACCGATAATAACTGTGGTGAGAAGGTTTAATTTATCGTATTAAGAATAAACTCGTACCATGCGAATGCTGTAAATTATTCTCTATATTAGTCGAACGTTCACTGATAATATTTCTGTGTGTAAATGGAGTTATATGCTTTTGCATGCTGACTCGGTTCAGGATGTATTGTAGTCGTTCGTCCTTGCTAAAGAAGAATATTTTCATTTGTCCTTTCAACTTCTTCTTTTCCTGTATCAGATATTAGACCATGAAATGGTGATTATGACATGATTCATCCTTCGGCTGAAAATCACAGGCCATTAATGGATTCCTGTTTTAATCATAGATTCAGTTACTGACTATTTACACTCTGAGTTTCAATTCACTTTCAGAAATATTACAACACTGCTAGAAAACGACTCAGTAGATTATCAGTGAAGGCAAAGTGTCCGATGGAGAGCCACTTCACTGAATCCGTAATGGGTTCAGAGATCATCCGTGCCTTTGGTGACCAACAGAGGTTTGCTGGGAAGATGCAAGATACCACTGACCGTTATCAAAAAATGATAATATATATGAGACTCGCTTACAGGTAGGTCAGAAAATTGTTTTCAACCAGTGCTTCATTTTCTGTTAAGAATGAGACAAATGCCTCAGACCTGCATCACTTGGGACTTCCTCACCACATTGCCTTCATATAAGTGAAATTTTAGTTCCAAGCGGCAGTAATTACGCTGACCCTCTGTTAACCGTTCCTCTAATCATTGATCCAGTCTTTCAATAGTTGGAAAATCTGATCATGTTTTTCCAAAGCTATGTGGTATTAACTGTGCAGATGGCTTGGCGTCAAGAGGATCGGTGTTGGCAATGCAGTATGTGGAGCCTCCTGTCTCCTGAGTAGTTTCACGAAAGGATCAGCATCAGCAGCTCTGATGGGTCTGGGAACTACGTTCTCATTACAGGTAGTACATAACAGCATGGATCCTCAACCCCAACACTAAACCCTATGACAAAAACCCACACACAGTTCACGAGATGTAACAGATATGAATATTTTAAACCAAGAAGAAAACTCGGAACAACCTTCAGCCACCAGAACATAGTGTACCAAAAATTTGGAAATCTAACCTGTATTAAATGTTATGTTTTTTCAGATGAAAAGGGACATGGAATGGCTAATCAGCTTGCAGTGCGACCTGGAAACCTATCTAATATCAGGGGAGATAATAGCGCAGTACATTCATAGCCCGAATGAGGTGGGTCATGTCACTTCTGGTGCCCAAAGAGCTACTTCAATTGCGACTGGCAAGTCCAGTAGTACATTCTAAAATTCATTAAAATAAAAATAAATGCAATTCATCAGGAATCTACTTATGTACAGCCAGTGAAATCAGTCACTCGCAACATCATCAAACTAAAGTGCAGCGAATTTCAATTCCAATTTGACAGGCTTCATGGAGGAAGGACTCATTACTTCCACGGAACTGGCCTGCACGAGGCAGAGTGGAGTTTCACAACTATTGCCTCCGATACCGTCAGGGCACGGACCTGGTGCTAAGGAACATTTCATTTACTGTACATGGAGGGGAGAAGGTAGGTGGAATGTCTCATTTACTGTACACGGAGGGGAGAAGGTAGGTGGAATGTCTCATTTACTGTACATGGAGAAGAGAATGTATATAGGTGGAATGTCTCATTTACTGTACACGGAGGGGATAAGGTAGGTGGAATGTCTCATTTACTGTACACGGAGGGGAGAAGGTAGGTGGAATGTCTCATTTACTGTACACGGAGAGGAGAAGGTAGGTGGAATGTCTCATATACTGTACATGGAGAGGAGAAGGTAGGTGGAATGTCTCATATACTGTACATGGAGGGGAGAAGGTAGGTGGAATGTCTCATTTACTGTACATGGAGGGGAGAAGGTAGGTGGAATGTCTCATATACTGTACATGGAGAGGAGAAGGTTGGTGGAATCTCTCATTCACTGTACACTGAGAGCAGAAGGTAGGTGGAATGTCTCATTTACTGTACAGGGAGGGGAGAAGGTAGATGGAATGTCTCAGAAACTGTACACGGAGAGGAGAAGGCAGGTGCAATGTCTCATTTACTGTACACGGAGAGGAGAAGGTAGGTTGAATGTCTTGTATGCTGTACACGGAGAGGAGAAGGTAGGTGGAATGTCTCATTTACTGTGCACGGAGAGGAGAAGGTAGGTGGAATGTCCTATTTACTGTACACGGAGAGTAGAAGGTAGGTGGAATGTCTTATTTACTGTACACGTAGGGAGAAGGTAGGTGGAATGTCTTATTTACTGTACATGGAGGGGAGAAGGTAGGTGGACTGTCTCATTTGCTGTACACAGAGGGGAGAAGGTAGGTGGAATGTCATATTTACTGTACGTGGAGAGTAAAAGGTAGGTGGAATGTCTCATTTACTGTACATGGAGGGGAAAAGGTCTGAGGAACATCTCATTTACTGTACATGGTGGGGAGAAGGTAGGTTGAATGTCTTATTTACTGTACACGGAGGGGAGAAGGTTGGTTGACTGTATTATTTACCGTACACGGAGGGGAGAAGGTAGGTGGAATGTCTCATTTACTGTACACTTGTACTGTACACTCTTGTTTTTAGCCAAGTCAATATAATTAAGTTCTCTGTGCTTTCTTCACCAAGATAATCCAGCTCACATATGCTCATGGAAACGAATAAGGGAACACCTGAGTACAAGTGTTCCTTCATTCTTTTCCAGGTTTCTTCACAAGCTTTGTATTGCACTGTGGGTGAAATTCTGGAAAAGAATACATCGTTTACAATGCTTTGCAAAGAATTCAAGTAGTTGTACGCGATGAATGTCAATTGGAATTGCTATATAGACCTTATCTTTCCATTTCTCTTCGTTTGTTGCCTCGGGTCAAACTGTTTTTCAGTTTTGATGTTTCTTGAATCATGATGTGTTGTTCACAGTGTCGGACAACGCCAACTTTTTTGTATGACCAGAACATTCTTGAAGAGATTCCCTCGCTTCGTTTCGAAAAATATTTTTAATGTCAAAATAAAATATCGCCATCATCAAAGGTAGACACCCTTGTCCTCACAGAGTTGTGCTTTCAGATTTCCAAACTCATATTTAATAATTACTTACGGACAATATATTTAATTCAACATTTTAAGCGCAAATTGTGGCATGTCAAACCGTTCTTCGCCTCCATTACTCCTGCCAGCTTCCGGTTCAACGGAGTGAAGGAACAAGAATAAGCAGAAATTAAACACAAATATCATATTGTACCGTTAAACTGGTGGAGATTATTTTTCTTATCTGCCGTCGTTATTGTTAGAATTTTCGTAACATTTATTCTACAGAAACACTTCTGGCGTAACGGGTAAATGAAAGCATATTTAAATTTAACTCCCCTGTTCCTTCACTCCGTTGAACACCACGTGTTGCTGCAAGGAATTTCTGTCACAAGGTAGTGTCTCTGTTCATGGGACCTGTAAGTCTCGCGAGGCGCTACTTCCTGTACTAAGGTGGTTCCCGGCTCCCTTTGCGATATGCGAGACGGGGCCCAGCTTAATTCCGGCACTAGATTTCCGGTGACAGGCGTATATTAAAAAACAGTTCTGGTTCCAAATGGCCCAACCTCCAATTGTGACTTTTCTAGACCGGAACAAGTGTCCAGCCATGCCTTTCTGTCTCAGCTGTTGACAGTCGTAATAGTTGGCTTATTTGGGGATGGTTAGATCGAAAATTTGTTATTCCTGCAAGGATTGTTGGTTCCTTACTGTCAACTGACAACCATGAGATCATTTGTAAAGGTATGAAACGTTGTTTATCACCGGAACTACTAAGGTCTTGCGAAGTGGCCGTTACCCACTTACGAGCGCTATTGTCCTTTGGTTTTTGTATCTTGACATCTTCCACTAGCGTCATTCTGTGACACAGGATGTTGTCGCTGGCTACGTCTTCTTCCTGATAAGGACAAACTTTGTGGATGAACAACTTCTTTATTTAGGTGATGCGACGTTTCGATACAGAATCTTGTATCGTTGTCAAACAGGTACTTCTTTATTCAGGTAGCAAACATGTGACATAAAATGAAGAATAAAGTCAAAAGAATAACCAGTCTTGCCTATTCTCGAATACATGACACATTATATGGATAGCAACTTCTTTTTCTTCTGTACACAACATTTCAGAGCCAATTCTTGCTCCTTCATCAGGTGAATGCTGAGTGAATATATATAGAGTGAATATATATAGATAAAGCATGTTTAAACAACACAAAAACGTGTCAAGTATTCATGTTCGTCCAAGTTCTAAATGCCTTTCAAGAACTTTGCCTATTCTCCTCAGAATCGATTTGGTGTAAAGGGCAAAGTAGCTGAGAAAATGATATGAATGACAGACCACGTTTTACATTTTTAGCACATTTTAACACTTCATAAAGTTTTCCTTATCTGACTCTCCATGGACCCGAGTATGGTGATCTGCCTCCACTTGCTGGCGATCCATAACCCGTTGTTTATATGTTTTTGTTCTCTTTAATAATATTGTTTTATGATTACATGCTAGTTGTACTTATCTGTGAAACCCTGGCATTTTACTGTTCATCGTCATCGTTTTATTTCTAAATCTATTGATTTTGTAATATTATAATTGATTGTTATCGTTGCGTTATGTCTGAAATATTGCCTATGAGATCAATATTAACTCACTTACTCACTTAACTTCTAAAAATGCCACTCAAAGACGTTATGTCTACTTCCTGTTTAAGCTTGTGAGTGCCGTTGTTTACTCATTCCATCAGTAATTTCAGCTATGTCACAGCATTAACAAGGAACCCCTATGCCTAGTTGTGGTTATTCAGTAAAGGAAGTGTAGCAGTATGCCGATTTCCTAAGATAGTCTTTTACTACATTCACATATTATTTGTTTCATACCCCTTATTGATATTTTCATATTTTTTTTCATCATCTTTTCATTATTAGGATGTCATATTGTTATTAAGACCGATAACACACTTAGGCACCGGGGCGGTGGGGTAGCCTAGTGGTTAAAGCGTTCGCTCGTCACGCCGAAGACCCGGGTTCAACTTTTCATATGGGTACAATATGTGAAAACTATTGCTGGTGTCCCCCGCCGTAATATTGCTGGAATATTGCTAAGGCAGCGAAAAATCTAAACTCACTCACTCACACACTACCTTAGGCACCAACAAGGATATTCAGTATTGTCGAACGGGCCCCATGAAGTGTGTTACAAAATATGTGCCAAATAATAGCCGCTATTTGCTAATAGCGCAAAATACAGCCCCAAACAACACAAAATGTAGACTTACAACAACCATCTTATGAGATACGTTCTGCTTTTACAGATTTTGAGATGATTTTGAAAATGGACTTGTTGCTTGAATTTGAGAAAAAAATCAAAATGACCGCATTGGCTGTTTTCTGAGCCAGGATTGGATAGATTAGTTTAGATCATTTTAGCACTTTATTTAATTATTGAAGCCCAAAATCAAATATTGACTCTTTTTTTAATTATTATTGATTTGAAGGTTTCTATACACTTGCTGTACAGACTAAAATATGTTTGCATGGTATCAAAATACTATTCCTGAAGTCTAATCAACATATTGCAATCTATTCAATCTAACTAAGATGCTTAAGCATCTAAATGTAACATTTAGGTTCCGCTTTGTTTGTTTGTTGTTTGACGCACTCAGCAATATTCCATATACTAGTAGGAAGGCGTTTCCTATTCTCGCGGTACTTACAGATATCGGCTGAAAAAATAACACAAACAATTCTTATCGTATTCATGCTTGTTGTTTTTAAATGAAGGGCCTTCTCCTCTAACATCTATATCTATCAGCTGCCAGATCCATCAGGTTAATTACCACTCGTGAGCCCAGTGATAAACAATGCCATCCGCCACTGACGAAACGAGGCTTCTCCCATTCTCGCGGTATTACCAGGAATTAACGTTATTGAGTGTATGTAAGAGCAATCATGCCGGGAAGGGCGAGAAAAAGTAATGATATGTCCAAGTTGGTATAAACTCCCCAATATTCGTGACACTGCAAGATTTTGATCACTCACAGACTTGGGCCACTTCCTAGTTACCAGTCGGTGATGTAAACAACCGCTAAGTGCCGCGCATCGGCGATTGATTTCGGCAGAAAACGTGTTTACCGCGAGAATAGGAGACGGACCTATATATGGCGGCGTTCTGTAAATAGTCGACATTTCAGTGGTCAACATCATGAGCATTGATCTACGCAATTGGGATACGATGACATATGTCAACTAAGTCAGTTAATGGTCGGCTAATATTGATGATAAAATACATAACAAATATGTTAATGTATCACATTATTTTAATCAATATAGGTATTATAATTTCTGGCGATACATGTTAAGCAAACACATTCACGCTGCATATTCACGTCTTATTTCAACTCTGATTCAGTACATGACTTCTGAGGATATTGTGTGTGCACACCTTTTCTCTTGACGCTTTGTATGAAAGATAAACTTTGATGCATTTTATTAAACATAGTCAACATATGGCAACCAACATCGACACATACACTAATTCACCCAAACCTCCTTAATCAATCAAAGAGTATACGAAACTAAACGTACATGTTACATGAGACTCTGCTCAGAGAAACATAAGTTTATCATCGATAGTTTAGCAAGAAGTCTCAGCACTAAGCAAAGCCAACATGTCTGAATGTTGTTTCACTTCTGATTCCTACAAAACCCTTATTTCCTCTTCATTTGGAGACTCAAGGCATTTTAGCCGAACACTCTACATAAAAGCATAACATATATTCATTTCATTAATATCCAGCAAAGCGACGATGGTAGATTGTAATTACACACTTATAATTATAATATCAGCTCTGGTTATTATTTGTGCTACAAGACTAAGAATTTACAACAAAACTAGGACGAGCCCTCAACTTATGTTAAAGGCACTATATCACACCAAACTTCTCTAAAAATATATAATGCATTTCTCTCAATAATAGTAATTATCAGCCCTCGGGGAAGCTATCATATTATTTATTTAGCAAATAAATTACGTATTTAGATTACAATATTGAATAAAAAGTTCGAATGAATTAATGAAACGTTACACTGTGCCTTTAAGATTTTCAATTTGCAGCGACCAGAATTAAAAATCAGGAATAAAATCATGTCAAAATGAATTTCCTTTTTAAAAGTATTTATATACAATAAATCACATAGCCGGAGATAATTTATGGAATGCTGTAAGAACTAACGTGTCAAACACTGGCAGATTAACGGTATTGTTTGCAAAAATATACATATATAATTCTGAAAAATCTCTGAATTCTATGAGGTCAAGCGAGCAGCTTTGGCCATGTTGTAGAAGATGCTGTCGGGCTGTTGTAGCAGGGAGGAGGGTGTGTCAAACTCACACACACAGCCGTTGTCAAGGACCAGGATCCTGAAAGATAAATTTCGAAAGTTGCATATTTCTACCACTCAGTTTATTCTTAGTGATGACATGGATGGAGCGCCTGTCCAGAGAGCATACTGTCGGGGATTCGATTCTCTGGTTGTGCAATACCAACAGACAATAATAGACTTTATTGTAATTTACTACGTACTTGGCATTAAGGGGACAAAACAGGGACTGGGCGGCTCTGTGTTTCACGATATGTCCGAGTGGGGTATTTATGTTTCTCGGAAAATGGGCCCAAAAAATCGGGCACACCCCAAAAATATGTTTTATCATGATATTCCCTAGCACTGTGTAAGTTTTTTTGCCATAATTCAGCGGGGGAAAGTCATGTAGTGTTAGACCTGTGAAGATCAGGGGTAGAATAGGTCTTCAGCAACCCATGCTTGCCACAAAAGGCGACTATGCTTGTCGTAAAAGGCGACTAACGGGATCGGGTGGTCAGGCTCGCTGACTTGGTTGACACATGTCATCGGTTCCCAATTGCGCAGATCGATGCTCATGCTGTTTATCACTGGATTGTCTGGTCCAGACTCGATTATTTACAGACCGCCGCCATATAGCTGGAACTAAACTCACTCACTCACTCACTCACTCACTCGTATAGTGTTAGAATTGCAAATCGTTGATTTTTGGCGGCCATCCTGGACGCCATCTTTTTTTTCGGAAAATGGGCGAAACAAATTGGACACACATCAAAAATAAGTTTTATCATGATATTCCCAAGCACTGTGTAAAGTTTTCAGCTATAATCCAGAGAATTGGAAATCCATGACACCCCAAAAATATTTTTATTGTGATATTCCCCAGAACTTTGCACAGTTTCATGCTTTAGTACGGCGTGTAAAGATCAACTTCAAACTCGGACCTCATTCACTGCACTATAAACGGTGAATGTCATATGCTGGCACTATATCAATATTTTTGTCCAGATTAGTGCAAGTAGTCGCACACTGAAGTGCTTGCACGTTGCTTAAACAATAACAATCCTGAACGCAGCCTAAAACTCCATTTCAACTAACTCGACCGAACTCAATACCTTGATAATTCATCAACTTGGTAGTCAGAATACATTTGGCAAAAAACAAAGGCTATATAGTCTGCTGCATTCGAAGATCTAGTTGTCGCCTGTTTTTATTATAACTCACAAACGACAAACCTTACAACTGAATCGCACGCTTATATATCTACCTACTAACCAGCATGCTGTGTAATCTCAGAGAGCAGTTATCTTCACGGGTACTTACATATGTTCATACTATTCTCACCACATTCAACAATATCTATTTCTTCATCCTCACCTGTCGTAGTCCATGATGGTGTTGAGTCTGTGGGCGATGGTCAGCACGGTGCAGTCCTTGAACTCTGACCTGATGGTCTGCTGGATCAGGTCATCTGTTTCCATGTCAACAGCAGCTGTAGCTTCGTCCAGAACAAGAATGTTGGACTTCTTCAAGAGTGTTCTGGTCATACAGAAAAGTTGACGTTGTCCGACACTGTGAACAACACATTATGATTCAAATAGCATCAAAACTGTAAAACGTAGTGTGACCAGAGGCAAATCAGGACGAATTGGAAAGATTCAAATTGGCATTCGTTGTGTACAAAAGATTGAATTCTTTGTAAACCGTTGAAATCAAAGCTTAAATGCACGAGAAGAAGCATAAGAAGTTTCAAAACAGAAGAGAAGTCAGACGTCCCTCCAATTATTTTCGTCCCCTTGCATTGTGTAACCTGCTCGTAGCCTTTGTAAATCGTTAAAAAGATTTATTACGAGATGATTACAACAGTTGTTAACAGTCGACTCAATATTGCTAAAAGCGGCGTAAAACCAAACTCACTCACTCATTGCCATAAATGGTTCATGGATGATCACAATTCCCTTTATATTGGCAGTGGTGACATGACCGGTTGACGAACGTCAAAGTCAATTTCGGTGACAATACTACCGCCGTGTTCCCATCCTATACACTTCCATATATGGTAATGGCGAGTCAGGGAGTACTAGCAAAGGTCGTTGGCAAGTGACACTAATCTGCACATCCATGTGCCCTTATGAAGACTGGGTACGAATGGGATCTAATCAGAATGTTAACTACCTCCCACCCCAAACCTTGACACCTACCTGAAGTTGTTTCCGCCCTCTCCACAGTCACTCTGCAATAGGCCAGGCAAGGACTCCACAAACTGGCGGATGTGGGTGTGGTCCAAAGCCTCCCATATGTCCTGGTCTGTGTACAAGTCCTGGGGGTCAAGATTCATCCTCAACGGACCCGTGAACAACACAGGGTCCTACAAGAAGATAACATAAAAAAACCCACTTGTATACATATATTCAAATCAATAGATAGAGAAATTGCAGAGAAACCACCGAGTGTTGTATATTCATACCATGGTGAAATCAGTTTATGATATATAACTACCTGTGGTATGATAGCCAGTTTCTCTCTGACATCATGAAGTCCTATGTCAGCAATATCTACTCCGTCTATCACAATAGCGCCCTCTGCTGGCTCCACCAAGCGGAAAAGGGAGAGCATCAGGGAGGATTTACCCGCACCTGTCCTGCCGACAACACCGATCTGGACAGAGACACAGATGACAATGATGCAATAGTATGCAAATGGGAAGAAAAAGTGACATCAAGGTAAACGTAAATCCATAGTGCCTCATGATGTCAATCACTGGATTGTCTGGTCGAGAGTATTTTCAGACCGCTTCGAACAGTTGTAATACTGTATAATGACCCGTTAAACAAACACATACTCATTATATAGTCAGAATTATTAATCGACTCTGCTTTTAGCAGAGGTTCCTTACGGGTGTGGAAAGGGTTTTGTCGTTTTTATTGAGATATTTCAATATGATGTGTAAGTGTTGTTTTTTCATCCAATATTCCGTTGTTCAAGAAGGACAATAAGCAAAGTCTGCACGTGCCCCTCCATCTAAAGCAAATGTGATAATCCACCTTCCTCTCGTTTTCCTATGCACAGTAAATATGACATTCCACCTGCCCTTTCCCCTACGTGTACAGTAAATGAGACATTCCACCTACCATTTCCCCTCCGAGTACAGTGAATGAGACATTCCACCTACCTTCTCCCCTCCGTGTACAGTAAATGAGACATTCCACCTACCTTCTCCCCTCCGTGTACAGTAAATGAGACATTCCACCTACCTTCTCCCCTCCGTGTACAGTAAATGAGACATTCCACCTACCTTCTCCCCTCCGTGTACAGTAAATGAGACATTCCACCTACCTTCTCCCCTCCATGTACAGTAAATGAGATGTTCCTCAGCACCAGGCCCGTGTCCTGACGGTATCGGAGACTGTAGTTGTGAAACTCCACTCTACCTCTTGCTGGCCAGTTCCGTGGAAGCTGAGAAGAGTCCTTCCTCCATGATGCCTGCAAAAACGGAATTGAAGTACCCTTCACTTTAGTATCACTGATAATGACAGATTTCAATGGCTGTCCGCAGGTAAATTCTTGACGAAATAGCATTAAGATATATCTTAATAACATAATACTTGTCTAGGATTGCCACTGAAATTGTTTCTATGTAAGCTTTTATAGATTCTGAACACCAGAAGTGACTGGACCCACCTCATTCGGATTGTGGATGTACTGTGCTATTCTCTCCATGGATATCAAATTGGTTTCCAGGTCGCTCTGTAAGGTCATTAGCCATTTCATATCCCCTTGCAACTGAAAAAAACATAACATTTAATACAGGTAACATTTTCAAATGTCGGAAACACTAATGAATTTCGGTGACTTTTTTCTTCAGTTATAACAAATATTTTTATGCGACCCCATAACATGTTTGTGTGTATGGATGTGTGCTTTTACGATAGGTGTTGGGTTTAGGGTTTGGAGAGGGAGTGTTCTGTACTACCTGTAATGAGAATGTACTTCCCAGACCCATCAGGGCTGCTGATGCTGATCCTTTCGTGAAACTCCTCAGGAGACAGGAGGCTCCACACACTGCATTGCCAACACCAATCATCTGGATCCCAATCCATCTACACAACAAATACCATATATATTTGAAAAACATGATCAGATTTTCCAACTGTGGAAGAACTGGATCTATGATTAGAGGAAATAATGGCTGAGGGTCAGCACCTATTGACGTTTTGAACTTTATTTAAGGCAATGAAGTGAGAAAATCCTACGTGATACAGAGTGATCTTATACGTTTGTCACAATCTTTCGGAAACTGATAAGGAATCTTTTGACTTTTGAAGCACTGGCTGAAAACAATTTTCTGACCTACCTGAAAGCGACTCTCCCACACATTCTCATTTTGTGATAATGATCAATGGTATCTTGCATCTTCCCAGCAAACCTCTGTTGGTCACCAAAGGCACGGATGATCTCTGAACCCATTACGGATTCAGTGAAGTGGCTCTCCATCGGAGACTTTGCCTTCACTGATAATCTACTGAGTCGGTTTTTAGCAGTGTTGAAACAATTCTGTAAGTGAATTTAAACTATGAGTGTTAATAGCCAGCCACTCCTTTTATGAAAAAAAACAAGGATCTAACTAGAAAGTGTTTTTACTCGTCAAAACAGATGTCTCCCCATTCCCCCAAATCAACGTTGAGACCTCAGACACTTCATTTGATTCCTTCAATTTCAAAATCTCTAAGTATGAAAATACATATTATACATGTTTTATAGAAGTACATGTATATGGTTCATGCTTGTAAGATACTAATAATTGGTATTAAGTATAACAAATTTGGTGAAGATGGGTGAAGTGGTTTTAGGGTTATACTCCGAACACAAACCCTACTTTTCAAAAAGACAAAATCTAAATTGTTGCCATGGAAACAGAAAAAACAATTGAAAAAAAGTTCAAAACCCCCAGAGGCACATATAACAAATGTGGTGAAGATTGTTCTAATAGTTTTAGAGTTATGCTCCGGAAACAATGGGAACGCAGACGCCGACGGAAACTCAACCAAAAACAAGATATCTCCCGACCCTTCGTGGGGAGACATAATAATGGCTAGGAGCTGTCAACAGTAGGATGAATAATGTCATAATCATCACCTCAATATTCTTATGTCTGAAACAAGAAAAGGAGAAATGAATTATGGACATGTCAAATTTAGAAACCTTTGGGAAGAACTAAAGGAATACAATGCTGACAACAAGTATTCTTGACTCGGATACGTTTTCGGAGGTCTTTAACAGGCATTACCACCACAACTATTATCGGTCAACGTTACAGAGTGATAGTAACAGCAAGCACATTGTACGGAAGCCGGTGCATAAGCCACTCATCGTTGGTTTGACTGACTGACTGACTGAGTTTGGTTTTACGCCGCTTTTAGCAATATTCCAGCAACATCACGGCGGGGGACACCAGAAATGGGCTTCACACGTTCTACCCATGTGGGGATTCGAACCCGGGTCTTCGGCGTGACGAGCCAACGCATTAACCACTAGGCTACCCCACCGTCCCCGTTGGTTTGAATCTCAGATACATGTACATATACTCATGGGATTCACGAAAGTGGTATTCACTGTGTGCTTCCGTCCCCTATTTACGGTCAATACACGACATATTCACTGTGTGCTTCCGTCCCCTATTTACGGTCAATCCACGACTGATTCACTGTGTGCTTCCGTCCCCCATTTACGGTTAATCCACAACTGATTCGCTGTGTGCTTCCGTCCCCTATTAACGGTCAATCCACGACTGATTCACTGTGTGCTTCCGTCCCCTCTTTACGGTCAATCCACGACTGATTCCTGTTCAAAGTGACGTTATACTTACACACCCAATATATAAGTCGTTGTTATGATGCTGATGGGATTAGGATATCTTCTTTTCCCCATTAAGGTAAAAATGACGATCCGATTACAAAGGATAAAAGGAAATCTTTGAGATGCATGGAAGATAAAAATTGATACTTCCAATAAAATCAAAGTTTTAAAAGTTTAGAATTCATTGCAGCATACATACATGTAATGTTCTGTAGACGTACAAGACAGGGATGAGCACTAACACCGTCTGTGGCGTGCTGTACACCACAACGAGCATTGACGTCACAACGTTGACAACGCCGTCAAGCCAGTACTCCATACACATTGGCATCTCGTCGTCTATGACCTTCATGTCGTGGGAGAAACGATTGGTTATTCTTCCAACTGGAGTTGTGTCGAAGAATTCCATCGGTGACTTGAGAATATTCGTCAGCATCTTGCTGTGGAGTTCTTTGGAGGCACGCACGACGCCACGAGACATCATGTAGGAGTAGAGAAGAATAAACACGGCTGAAGTGTGAAGGGTAATATGTGAGTCAGCCTGAAATGTTTGTGTCAGACTGTCGACCATCTAACATCAAATATCCTTTAAAGGGGGAGGAGGGCGGGGTTTGGGAGAGGAAGGTGGTGGGGTGGGGCGGTTGATTAGAGGAAAGGTCGACGGAGGGTGAGCGCCTATTGACGTTTTGTACTTTATTTCAAGGCAATGAGGTGATAAAGTCCGAAGTGATGGCGATATCAGACTTTGCCACATTCCTTTAGGAAACAGATTATGAATGTTTTAGAATGGATGTTAGTTTGTGTGTGCATTTGGGAAGGGGCGGGCTGGGGGTGGGGTGTACTCGGGCCTACTATAATAGTTACGGAATTCTACTGACTGCAACAATGTGCACATAGAGCCTTTGCACTCTCTTCTTTGGTCTGTTCCGAAACTGTTCTTATCAACTGCATTAGTCAAGAAAGAATATCCTGCAGACAGTGCTCACGTCACTTTTATTTAGATCAACCATTTATGGTAACAAGAAATTGACCGCTGCAATACAAATTGTGTCATACAAAAACTCTTGCTGAGTTAAATTTTAGGTTATACCTCTCACAGTATAAATGGGTAGTCTTGTGGTTAAAGCTTTCGCTCATCACGCCGAAGGCTCCGTGTTCAATCTCCACAAGCGTATAAAGACCCTAGTCCATTTCCAGTTACCCTTATTTAAATGCCTGGAACTGGAGCAACGTATTCCAAATTACTCGCAAACAGTCTACTTACACAATGCAACTCCTAGAGAGCTGTAGATGCTGAAGTAGATCATGTTTGTCTTCCATACAACGTCACTGGTGTTACTGTCGTTGACGTGTTGGAGACGTGGGTCATTTGTCCACTTGACCAGCATCAGGTTGGCCCCCACCCATGTGATGTAGTACATGGCATAAAACACCAGAAGAAACAGCAAGTTCCACTCGCCGTAAGCGGAGATGTACTTGAGAAGCATTGACCACTTTTCCTACAAAGGAACAAATCGGTTTATTACATGATGCAGTTTTTCCGCCACTTGCTGAGAAGTGGTCTCAGGACAGAACCGCATATTTAATCCAAGCTGACAGTTTATGGTATATAATTTAATTACCAAATCTAACATTGTAGCTATATAACAGTTAAAAAATTAATTGTTGGACCTGTTTTTAACGCTATAGCTATGTTAAAAAGTTACAGAAACAGGTTTTTAGCTCATGTAAAGTCAACGATTGTATATGTTCATGCCATGTGTAATGAATGATGCTATTTAAGATTCGTACCAATCCAGTAAATTATGTGTCGCAGTATAATATCCAAATGCATTTACCTTCCAAGGAATTCTTTTTCGTAAGATGCGACTACGTGAGACTCGGTGACTTGGTTGATGGCAGACCATCGTGTATTAATAGCTACGTGGGCTTTAAAGAAAAAACAATTTTCTGATGTAAGTGTGCAGGACACACCTTGGCATCTGGGTCCGAGACTTCTTCCTCCTTAACATAACGACCTTCAGTCTCTGGTTTGTCTTCAGACGAGGTTGACAGATGGCTTGAGTTCTGTCTGGACACCTTGGACGCCTGGCGTCTGAACTGTTGGTTTTCAGATGACCCTGTGCTTGAAAGGAAAACACACAAACAGAACATATCACACACAGGAAAGGGACGCTGGGGAGGGTGGGCTGTGGGGTGTTGATTCTGGTGGATGTACATTTGAATCATGGTGACAATGGACACGTCATGTAATACATTTGATCAATGACAAATTAAACACTTGATGAAGACTCTAACCGTAAATCACCTATGTACCCATATTACCCACCTGTCCAATCTTCTCAACTTTGATTTTAGGTCTGAATCTAGATTGATATCTTCTGATTCAAAATCTGCAATGGAAATTTAAAATAACTTAGAGCATTTGATCAACGTCTATGGCGAAATGTCACCACCTTACATAAATCTCATGCGGTTGTTATCCGAATGTATATAAATCTTGAAAAACATGTCATCCTCGAAACGAAAAATGATGTAACTACAACAGTCAAATAGATCGGTTAACCGGTCAGTGGTATTTTAGTAATATGGCTTATTATAGTAAGGCCTGTGTGTGTCGCGAGGCGCTTCTTGAGGTACTAGCTGGTTATCGGCTTCCTGTGCGCGTACCAACTTGCGATAGCTGGGATCCAGCTTCCTTCTGGTACCAGACTTCCGGTGACAAGCGTATATTCAAGAACCAGTTCAAGGTGTTCATGATCTGCACTTGGATCAAGCCTGCCGTGGTTCATGGCATTTGGGTAAGTATACTGTCCCAAAAAAGAAACGCATAGACCAGAAATCTTTTGCGAAAATGTTGTTATTTCAAAGATGTATAACTCTTCCACAAAGAGAATTTAGTGCAAGTATTTTTACATCAGTTTAGAAGAAGGAACTATCTATACAACCAAGTGGAGAATTTTAGATAACAGAGACATTGAGCACGATGGTGACGACGTAGCACGGTCCCGACGTCGGGTCTCCTGGCTCTTAGACCAATCTCTCTCAACCTGTTCCGTACAGTTTGACCGGGTATCGTTCGAAGTCCAGGCACCCTGGCTGCTGTGCTCTCACCCGTGGCAGTACGATCATGCAAATGTAGTACCCGGATGTACCGATCTTGGGCTGCAGTGGTGACTCGAGGTCTGCCTGTACGGGGACGGTCATTTGTTATACCTGATTGGTTGTAACGAGCTGCAAGCCGTCATATCGTGCTCAGACTAGCATTCAGACGCCTGGCAACAGAAGATTGGTAATCTCCAGCGTGCATTCTTTCAATGGCGATGTTCCGTGTCGCAGTGTCAAGACGTGGCGTAGTGATTTGACCTTGCAACTCCTTCAAAACGAATGCCAATTTCCGAAAGTAATCTGGATATTTATAGTCAGACAGTGCATGCTCTTTGCTGCACAATTTCAACTGGAAGGTGATTTTTGTTGCGTTGTGGCGATGCGTTTTTAATCCTTGTAAGAAATCTCATCAAAATCAACATTTTCAGGTAAAGTCGATTTTTCACGTGTGCGATTGTGTAAAATCATGCTACAACACTTTTGTTACATATTTTGACGATTGTTTGAACACAACAGGTAATTAATAGATTTTTAAAAATAGAAAACGCCTATGCGTTTCCTTTTTTTGGATAGTATATGTTTCAGTTACGAGCAAGATGTAACACTGTGAGGAGTTATCAAAAATATGGTGTGACTGAATACCAATATACTCTCCTGTACAAGTATAAATCCATTTAAGAATTTGACATTGTATTCTAGTCACCTTCAAAACATGTTGGGTTGTCTTCATAATCCGCCATGTAGGATCGCAGCACACGTGTAAACACACCGTCACTGTTGAGGAGGTCGCGGAACGACCCCGTCTCTGCTACTGTGCCGTCCTCCATGACGATGATGTTGTCAACGTCAGGCAGGTAACGCAGGTTGTGGGTTACCAACACCACGACCTGAAATGATGTATCATAGTGACAGTCGGGATGATGGTGTAAAGGACTCTAATGTGCTAAATGTGCATAGAAGCATCAGTCTAAGTAAACTTACGCTCAGTATTATTCGTTACACTGTTATCCTGAGTCTAAAAAAAACAGTAGAAGCACAGGCCCTCGTGTCTTTGCGAAGATTAAAGATGAATTTTTTTTTTTTTATTTGAGATGACCCCCGACATTATGACAAGGTCGGACACTTCGGTATACCCCACCCGCTACGCTGCCATCGCATGCAGCCGAGTACCGATTGCTAACATATGCTTCAGTATAGGGGAAGAATGAAGCCATAGAATGTTTCAGCAGAGAAACCGGTCGCCCATCCTGCTTCTCTCCGAAACAAACATTGCTTAACTTCGCATTATTTATGATTTTAAATCACATTAAATGTGAAATGCTCATGAATCACAATCAGTATTCATAATCTTACTTTATTCCTAAGGATCCCTTTGATCACTTTCTCAAATATATGTTTCCCCACGTGACTGTCAACAGCACTGAGTGGATCATCCAGCAGATAGATGTCAGCATCATTGTAGACAGCTCTAGCTAGAGACACTCTCTGCTTCTGTCCTCCACTCAAGTTGATACCCTGGTGACAAGATAGGAAACGGATACAATACACACGAAATACTCTCTGCTATTAATATACTGAGAGAAACAATAAAGGGTCACAGGAAAATTCAAGCGTTCCTTTGATATTTTCCTGTTTTCATCACCAGCTTTGAATAGTGCTGTGGTGATGAAAACAGGAAAATAATAAAGGAACGCTTGAATGTTCCTGTGATCCTTTATTTGTTTCTCTCAGTATATGTAAGAATAAGAATGTAATAGATACACTCGGAGATGTACTATTCCCCTGTGAGCTTAATGATTACATTTATAGATTAGTCATTCCGCACATAGCTAGTCATACACTGTTCGTTCACAATAGTTCTATCCATGTTTAAAGCAATCATTACATACTTCTAAATATACGGTGCCATTATGTCCATCTATGCCTAATCTGCAGGGATGTACCAACCTAAGTATCTGCCTTTAAGATACACTTTTGGAAAATCTCGCGCCATGTATTTCCGTTCTTTCAAACTCTCTTGAGAGCAACATAGCCAAACGAATTTAAATAGGGTGTACCAGAGAGAGTGTTTAATTCCGTTTGTAGGCCATCGGCCCATGTACAAAAGTATATACAAATCATATATACATATGTATGGCAATTGACAGGTATACGTGTATTACTATTCAACTAGTGCAGATTTACATTTCAGAGCTTCCTTAATAAACTTTGCACATTTAATCAGAATACTCACATCATGTGAGGTCAATTATTTATGGAATTTACAAATATTTGGTAAACAATCCCAATTTGGTATATACTTCTTTCTTAAAGAAACGTATGCATCACATTCAAATATGAAGTGAAACTCATTGTCAATACTATTATTATTACACATTCTACATATTCTATTTATAGTAAAAGGTTCTGTTTGTCTAACATTACAACGTAAAGGAAGCTCATTTAATCTTAACAAACATAAGTATCTTCTTACTCCCCTACTATTAATATTTGATACATAAAATTCAACTGTGTACAATGATTTATTAAACTTATAATGTACAAGTCTCGATGAAACATTAATATTGCTAAAAATGTTTTGTTGTCCACAATCTTCTAATCTCTGCTGAATAACGATAAAACATATGAGATATCTCCACTATCTTGCCTAACCCACGCATATCCATAACCTTACATATTCAACAATAACCTAACACAAGAAGCCCACGTGTTCCTTCCAATAGAATCTAGATTCTTAATGCAAAGATAACATTGTTTGAGGTAGCGAGTGTCAGGCATTCTTAACAATTTACACCAATATTTCACACATTTCAAGTAATAATCTACATAAATTCCATGTCTACCATATTCAGGTAAAGCTGCGTTAGTAGATACATGTTTACCTACACCTAAAACATATTTACAAAAACAATATGAAATCTATCAATAACATTTCTTTCCTGAAATCCCCACACTTCTGCACCATACAACAAAATTGGTTTCATTTTGGAGTCAAACAATTTAAATAATATATTAGCAGGATTGTTTGTATCGTTATGCTGAAGCTGCTTAATAACAAGTAAAGCCTTACTGGCTGTTGATACAAGAGTATTTGTATACACTGTCAATGACAACCTAGTGGAAAACATAACACCCAGATAGTTATAATACGTTGCTGTTTTTAGTTGTTTTCAATCAAAACACCATTTCTCATAATTTGGTAAATAACCACCATTTCGAAATACTACTATTTCTGTCTTATTCATATTTTCATGTAAGCCTCATGATTTGCAAAATTTACATAAAATATCAATAAAATGAAAGTTCAAATGACAAAAGCTGTATTTGTAATCCTGCTGAAATATACATATTTCAAGATCTAACAGCGAACAAAACAACACTTACACATCTAAGTGTTCAATCTTTGAACAATAAAGTTTACATTTTAGTTATCTATTCAGTACATGTAAGTGTTTACTCATCCAACAGGATGTTTGGTAATTTAACCGCATAGGTAACTTTGGATGGATTTTAACGCAATACCAATAGCATCAGTCCCAAATATGACAAAGAAGCTCACCACTCAAAATTACAAATACGTGACTTGAACAGACGTTTATTTAATTTCAAAATATGTATTTTGGTCTTCAGAATCATTCTTAAAGTGTATACAACTTAACTACCCACCCTTTCTCCGATCTCCGTTAGATCACCAGCAGACAGCATATCTATGTCAGGCTGCAGAGCACAGGCCTGGATCACTGTTTTATACTGATGACTGTCCATGGGTTTCCCGAACAAGATGTTGTTCTGCAAGGTGTCGTTCTGGATCCAGGCTTGTTGGGACACATAGGCAACACGACCCTGTGCATTGGATAATCATTACTTTATCATGTCAATTATCTCAAACTCAAGATGCATACCTGGTAAATTAAACCAAAATGTCATTTGGGGTTTAAATTGAGAACGTACTGAAGCTTTAGGACTTTCTTAAATTTATTTAACTAACAGGTGAACATACTTGGACGCTGAGATGACCTTTAACCTTCTGGATCTCACCCAGGACTGCTGCTACAAGTGAAGATTTCCCTGCCCCTACATGTCCCACCACGGCCACCAGGCTGCTCTCAGGGATGCTCAGGTTTATACTGACAAGAAATTCAAATATCTGTGTTCATAATTGAACATACATGAATGCGTACGAGTATATAGACAGGGTAAACAACACGAAGGTTTTCTTTACGAATCGATATTTACAATATATCATACTTGCTTAACGTTTGTGCTGTACTGGAATCCCAGGTAAACGTGCCATTTGTAATTTCAATTGCTGCATCTGTAATTATAACAAGACTTCGTTCAAATGGTTGACAAATGACAACAACGATAAGAGAGTAAGCACACCTGTCAGTGAACCCCTGGATCATTATATTCTTCCACGATTAAAATATAAATTAGCATGTCTATAAACCTTCCTCTTTACAAATAGACAAATGGTACACCAGGTTTTTACCGTGTGATTCTGGATCTCCACCGCTGACTGACTGGAAATCGCTCTCACACAAGAATGTTTCTATTCTTTTTATTGAAAGTTTAATCTGAAAAAACAACAACGCTCAAATACACATATGCATTTAAACAGATTATAGAAAGTGGTATTAACCAAATTATTATGATTATACATGGAAAATCTCTTTACGTAAATAATAAAACACAGCACGACAGTCACAATTGCCTCTTTTCACCAGCAGAAAATGGGTAACCGGTGGGATAAGTCATGTAACCATTTAACCTTCTCGCGCGCCATAGCTTGGATTATCCAAGGTAATAATAATCAGATTGTTGTTTGTGCGTTTGGAGCATGCTTAGGCATGGATGTATACGCGGGACAAAGATGCTATTGTTATTATTATTATTACTAAAATTCTACTCAACGTAACTTAAAAATGTACATTCATATAGCTCGATGTGAATTTTTTTCAATACAACACGTCAACACCCAAAATATTGGCCTCGATTATCTCCTGCAAAATGTAATATTGACCATAAAATGGTATCAACCCAGTAGCAGCCAATTATAAAGGCCAACAAGTATATATAAGTTTCACAACAACTGAAGAAGGATAATCTAATTCACTCACACTGTTAATATCATTCATTATATCCGGGGCCTGGTTAATGGCAAAACGAAGAAAATTGAGTGCAGATATGACGGCAAATGCTGTCCTGGCTGTAAAGGCTGGGTCTTCGTTTAGGAGAAAATACCCCGTGAATATCACCACTGAAATCTGAAACAGTATGTAAGACTTGTAAGAAGCTTGCGAGTGAGTGAGTCAGTGAGTGAGTCAGTGTGTCAGTGAGTCAGTGAGTCAGTTTCTACTTTTATCTACTTTGCATGTGATTTTGCAAATACATGAAATAAAAATGATATGCCAGAAGATATTTACCCAAATAGTTTCTGGGACACAAACGCGAGTTTAAGACCACGAAAATACATTTGCATCAAATAACAATTTGTGCACCTTCTCAAATGAAACAACAGCTCAAAAAAGAAAATACATACATAAACATGAGTGCTTTAACACCGCGTGGGCGTGGAAACACTAGCTGGGAGTTTTTCAATGATCAGGTTTGTAGTGTTTAGGTAACAAGTTCATTTTTGTTTGTATGTAAATTGGTATGCATGTATAGTGTTTGTATTTAGGTGAGGTGAGGTGAGGTGAGGTGAGGTGAGGTGAGGTGAGGTGAATTTGGGTTTTACGTCGTGCTTGAGAATACTTCGCTCATATGACGACGTGCATGCGTGTGTATGTGTATGTGCGGCTGCTTGTACTAGCCCAGACTTAAGCTGGTTTTATAGTGCTAGCCCACTGAGATACCATGCCGCAGTGAATCATGAATACCCCACTCAGACACATTATACTGACTCTGAGCCGACCAGTCCTTGTCGTACCCATTAATGCCGAGCGCCAGGCAGGGACAAACAAGTACCATATTTTAAGGTCTTTTGGTATGACGAACCCGCGACCTTCCGCTCTCCGGGCGGATGCTCTAACCACTACACCACGGAGGCGGTCGTTTGTATTTAGGTAGCAAGAGTGAGTGTATAAGTATTAAGTGCAGAAAATATGTGTTCTGGGTTTGTATGCAAAGTGTGTACGTTTTGAGTATTTAATATGTGTATAAAAATGTGCATGTATATGTTTAAAAGTAAGAATGAGAATTTTTGGTTAGGACAGTGTGAAACTAACGGAGAGATTTTATGAGGGGATTCAGTTGATTAGGCTAAGGCAAGTCGGGTAACTCTAGATGGGTGACTGAGAAGCACATAGGTGAGAGGCAGCTGTGCAGTGAGAGTGTCTCACAAACTAGATTGAATGACTGGACTGATTTGGAAGGTCAAACAAAATGGTATGTACTCTAACTTATTCTTATATCTATTTATTTGGGTAGCATTATGTTAATTTGGTAATTGTGTAGCTTTGTCAGTGAATGAATGTCAGTCATTTACTGTGTGTTCAATGTGTACTGAAACTTTTGATCCCTTGTTTTGTTATTTCAGTAAATCTTCAAACTTCAAACTTCAATCTACCAATCTTCATATTCACCATATAATCATGAGGAATTAAATTTGAGGAATTTACATTTGTTTTCAATTGGATTTTTAGAAAAGAAAACTAGAACCCTCCAAGTTTTAAAATGTTAGTTTGTTAATGGTGCGAGTTCGTGTTGCCATTGCTTGTGAAACGATGCACATATATTTCTGCGATACTCCCCTAAGTATCCGTTACACAATATTGTCTCTTCACAAAGAGAATGTACTATGTTAATATGTGTGTACCACAAATCTTTAATCCTATGCGTCTTTGCTTGCACCAAGTCAAAACGGAGGAACAGGGGTTGGGTTTTGGATAATCAGCTCAAAATGTCATTTTGCCAGTGGTGTATAGTATTTTGAGTTTGTGTCTGTGGTACTCCCCTAAGTATCCCTACCCACCAGATAGGGCGCAGTGTTCCAGCTGAAGATATGCAGGGCTCTGTAATACGTCATGCGTGTCAGGACATCCATCTCCCTGTCCCGACAGGCGGACAACTTGGCCCCGAAACATGGCTCCCAGGCATTGAGTTTCAGCACCTACAGGGTCAGAATGATGTCGTTATAAATCAGAGAAGATCAGAACAGCAGAGGCTGGGGTTACATTTTCAGTGTTAAAATACCTCATGATATTACCTAAAAAAACTGAAATGATCAAGTGCAAAATATTTTCTCAGTCAGCAGGTTGGAGAGGGGGTTACTCTAACGTCTACCAACACGTTAACGAATATACCTTCAAATTCTATATGTATCCGTTTAACTACCACTAGGATATCATATTTGAAAAACACTATACCATGAATTAAGAAAGTACTGTAACGTTGCATTTGAGTGTTGTAAACAATGACTAGTTTCCGATGTCTCAACAAAATGTTGACGGTGTTACAAACAGTGACATAAAGATTAAACAATACCTTCATCCCAGTCAAGACCTCGTTGAGGAGTTTCATTTTCTCATCTTTGTTTTGGGCGTTCTTCGCGAAAAGTTCGGTGATTTTGTCTGATATATGCATGTTGATGGGCACAAGGATTAGGATGACGAGAAAACCGAGCCCTGCTGCAGGACCAAGGAGGGCGAACAGTTGTAGGAAGATGACAACGATGTGGACAGGTGTGAACATGATGAAGATAATGTTGGAGAATTTGCTAGCAATAGTCCCAACATCCCCTGACACCAAGTTCGTCATGTGGCCCATGGAATAGAGCTTCCTGGCACTTGTATGAAGATTTATTGCCTGTGGAAGGATAACATTGATTGACTGATTGATTGATTGATTGATTTTTAACGTCGTTCTCAGCAGCATTCTAGCTATATGGCGGCGGTCTGTGAATAATCGAGTCTGGACCAGACAATCCAGTGATAAACAGCATGAACATCGACCTACGAAATTGGGCTACGATATAGATGCCATGTTTTAATCAAGTCAGCGAGTCTGATCATCCGTTAGTCGCCACTTTCGACAAGAATGGGTTAGGAAGGACAACCAAATAGTTCGAAGGGAGAGTTAGCTAAAAGACACAACACTGTATTGTACAGTAGTGTAGTAGCATACCGTTTAGTAATGTTAGTCAAAGGCTGATTATAACTAGTTTGGTTGTTTGTAAAATGAAGATCAACAATGTTCCTGGTGTCTGTATGTAATGGAGTCGGGACCAGACAACGAGTTGCATTTTACGACAAGTTTGCTGTAGGAGATGAAACTTTACTTGGAATACCACAGGAGAAGGTCAGTTATAAATCACGCACCTGCACGTCATGAAACCACGAGCGAGGGCATGATGCTTATCACACGACAGCGAATCCCGTTATGGTAATATGCCATTGATTTACAGTATGATCAGTAATGTCCCTCGATATTCAATAATGCATGCTTCATTCACATGGTAAAAATATAGTACGTGTATTTACAATCGGCAGTACATTCTATTTACAAATGGAAAAAAACCCCGAAAGACAAGAATTAACTTACCTTTTTGAAAATTGCATTTTTGAGAGCTGATTCTATATGCATGTTGTTCCTGTATCTCAAATATGAAGACTGTTCGTCAATGATAGTCCCTATTATCATGACTGTAACCATGGTGACAGACAGGGCCGCACCCTCCCAGACGCTGGTGTCCGGGTCTGCTGTGACGTCAATCAGGAGACTGGATATGATAGAAGACAAATGATTTCTTTCATACAGATATAGAACGCCAGTGTTATACAATCCCCAGTCTTGACTATCCCCCCTTAACGTAACGGGGAACACAGCGGGGGAATTATATGAAACGATCACTGAACGAAATCTTTTTGGACGAAAGGAAAAATAGCAATGCCATATAAACGCAAACAAAGGCGTCATTTTAGACAGAAATAACATGAAGTGTGTTCAGCATTTCAAAACCTTCCAACCTATCCTAACTTTACTTATTTTAATGCAATTTTTTAGTTAATGTTATTTACCTATAACTATACCCATCCAGAATACACCACGCAACAAAATATTGATTATCAAACCAGTGTTTTATCTTAGTTGTTAATTCTGTTATATTTATGCGTTGTATGTTTCACAAATGTTTTACACCACTATGAATGTAAATGTTTGAGTGAATGATTGCGACAGTTCTTACCAAAGTAAAAACGGACTTGATATCCATAAGGAAACAAACTTCACCAGTTTCAGTCCAACTGCCAGAAGAAGTTCTTGCCAGAATGACTTCAAGATGGCAGCGAGTAGAGAAGGTCTTCCCTCGGGTGTGTGTCCTTCTTCACCGTGGTTCTGTGGTGGCTTTGGGTGGAGAGGAGTCTGAGACTGACTTGAATTAATGGTGTGTGATCCTCTGTTGGCATCTTCCTCGCTGTGGGGCATCCCTTTGATGTTTCTGTGTCGAACACTTGCTTCCAGAGAAGAGGTGGCAGGCTTGGTTGACTTGACATCGTTATTGGAGTCTCTTCTGAAGTGAGTTGTGAAACAAGTGTATTTCTGCCATGGTAGCTTTAAAACATGCATCAGTGTTTAGCAGAATTGTTGGATGATACTCTAACTTTGGCATAACAAGAACCAAGAACAAACATATCAGGATATAACTAGAAGGTCCATTTGTGATTCTGAAAAAGGTACTGTAGTATGGAACGATGACCTGCATTAATCTTTGTCCTGACACCGCCACATAAAATGAAACATCAACTCGGCTACGGATGATAGTGTGTGTGTGTTAGTGGTGTTCCGATTAATTGAAATAATCGAAGATTGGTCGCAGTGGCCAAACGACCAAGCAATCAATCACATTTGCTCATAATCGAACACAAACGATTTTGGAACCGCTGTAATAGAGTTTGAAATACTTGATAATGGAACATATCTAAGACGTTGTCAGGGCCTGAAAACGTGTTTATTTCTAAGAAAACTCACTTCACTTTCTGAAAAGTCATGACTGAATATTTCTTGAAGAATCTGGGAAGTTAATGTTACACTGGAACTGAATCATTTTACACTGGATGTGAAATCTGCAAATGTAATTTGTGCAGTTTCTAAAAAAAAAAAAGAGAGAACCAAAAGTTTTTTTCTTTATATACCTATCTGCAACTACAACCTGAAAAGGAAAATCTAAAAAATGACGCTAACCAATTTTGTTTCGATGATTGGTCGTTGGTATTGAACCAATTATCAAGTGTGAGATTTCAACCAATTCCCAACACGTGTGTGTGTGTGTGTGTGTGTGTGTGTATGCGTGCGTGTGTATGTGCGTGTGCGTGCGTGCATGGGTCTCTCACTCTCCCCCTCTCTCTGAGAGTGAGTGTGTGTCTTTGTGTGTCTGTGTGTTGTCCTTTAATTCGTACAATCCAGTTGGTAATGATCACAGGCAAATAGTACATGAATGTACCTGATGAAGTGTCTGGGGGAGTTCCCCTCCCAAGTACTGTCGAAGACTGGGGCCACAGTTCCTGTCTTGTCCCTGACGTTCAGATCCCATACGTCATGCTCCGAAAGGGGCTGCTGGTTGGCCTTTTGTATCAAGCTGTACAAGAAATATTGAGCTCAAGGATTAGTACTAGCAGTAAATACCCTATATGTCTCAGTCTATCCGAATAGTACATTTGTGCTGACATATATTTTGTTTACTGACGTTTACTTGACATATTATTACTTTGGGTAAACTAGGAGGAAAAGCATTATTTTTCTGGGATTTGTTAGGAAAAGAATAGATTCCATTTGGCGTAAAGCAGAAATTATCACTCAGATACATAGTATCTGGAGGAGAAAACCATAATCTTTTATCTTAGTCTGGTTAAAGCAAAGTATCATCTCAAGTAATGCATCAATACAGGGTAGTGTATCAACAGATTATATCATGTTGGTTCGTACATTTCATTTGACAGTGTGGTTACAGTGCAAACGAATACCCTGTCTTGACAATCACCAGAATCGGTTTCCATTTGGTGTAAACGTCATAACAGGTGTGTGTGTGTGTGTGTGTGTGTGTGTGTGTGTGTGTGTGTGTGTCTGTGTGTCTGTGTCTGTCTGTTGTGTCTCTATGTGTGTCTCTCTCTCTCTCTGTGTCTCTCTGTGTGTGTGTGTCTGTGTGTGTGTGTGTGTGTGTGTGTGTGTGTGTGTGTGTGTGTGTGTGTGTGTGTGTGTGTGTGTGAGAGAGAGAGTGAGAGAGAACCTGTGAAGGTCCGGGTTAGAATGAACCTTCAGTAACCCATGCTTGTCGTAAGAGGCGGCTAACGAGATCGGGTGGTCAGGCTCACTGACTTGGTTGACACATGTCATCGGTACCCAATTGTGCAGATCGCTTCTCCTGCTGTTGATCACTGGACTGTCTGGTGGTCTAGACTTGATTCTTTACAGACCGCCGCCATATAGCTGGAATATTGCTGAGTGCCGCGTAAAACTAAACTCACTCACTCACTGAAAATCCTGGTATAACATCAGGTGTTCGCGACAGAGGTAAAGAGTATATGTATGATAACAGTAGTTATCAGTAAACAATATATTTTGGCGAAGGATGCTTGTTTATTATAATAAACAACATGGATCAATGCTCCTAGTATCAATCCTATTTTTGTCAGGATTTATTTTCACATACAGGCTTCAAATAGCTGGATTAATATTATTTCTGAGAAAACAATACCAAACCTACCTTCCAACCCACAAGAAGAAGAAGCGAGATAGTGGAGATGCATCCTCCTCCGGGCACTTGAGATCCTGCGATCAACAAAATATAATCACAAAGTTGACCACACAGGGCTACACCTACTCGGATTACCTTCCAACGCAGGAGACCCGTGAAGATCCGGGTTAGAACTGATCTTCAGTACCCCATGCTTAGCAAGAAGGAACTAACGGGATCGGGTGGTCAGACTCGCTGTCTTACTTGGCCTGTCATCGTTTACCAGTTGTGTGGATCGATGCTCATTATGTCAATCACTATATTATTAGGTACATGTCGTAGGAACTACACAAGTCATCATTCATATGACAACTATCGATGCTCATGCTGTTGATCACTGGATTGTCTGGTCCAGACTCGATTATTTAAAGACCGCCGCCATATAGTTGGAATATTGCTGAGTGCGGCGTAAAACTCTAAACTCACCCACTCACTCATATGACAACTGCATAGATCAATGCTTATGATGTTGATCACTGGATTGTCTGGTCTAGACACGATAATTCACAGGCCGTCGCCATACAGCTGAAATATTGCTGAGTGCGGTCTAAAACCAAACGCACACGCCCAAGCTAAGAGGATGTTTAGCATTTCCAGAAATTATCAAAAATAATCGGCAAATATCTAATGCATGTATATAACCAACCAAACGATCCAACGAAGGACTGTGGTGTCAAAACTGGTATTTTAATCATAAGATGTAATTTCTTCCCACTTCAGAGCAGAAAATACCACTCAGAAACATTGTATCTGGAGGAGAATACCAAAATCGTTATCTTAGTCTGGTTAAAGCAAACTATCATCTCAAGTAATGCATCAATACACGGTAGTATAACGTCAGATTATATCATTTTGGTTTGTTCATTTTATTTGACAGTGTGGTTTCAGCTTGGTCCCATAGAAGACGTCAGTGCAAACGAACACCCAGTTTTGACTATCACAGAAACGGATTCCCTTCGTCAAAACAGCTGTGAAAATGATATGAATTGACCACTGAAATTCCTGAGATGACACCGGGTGGTAGCGAAACAGGTAGGGGTATATGTATATGATGAATGTTTTACTGATATATTTGAGACATAAACTGAATTGAGAATAGAAGAGCGCCTGGTACCTCCATAAAGGACAACTAAAAAGAAACAAACTGGAAGTATGAAGGGACCGTACATATTTTATGGCACGGTGTGTGTGTGTGTGTGTGTGTGTGTGTGAGTGAGAGAGAGAGTGTGTGAGTGAGTGAGAGAGAGAGAGAGAGAGAGAGAGAGAGAGAGAGAGAGAGAGAGAGAGAGAGAGAGAGAGAGAGAGAGAGAGAGAGAGAGAGAGAGAGAGAGAGAGAGAGAGAGAGAGAGAGAGAGAGAGAGAGAGAGAGAGACATTGTACATTGTGCTTCTCCATAAAATCATCATCATTTCTCTCATTACCACAAAGGAATTAACTTGAATGTTTACTGGGTTAATTTCATGGTCTTTAAAACAAAAATGTTATTCTCGCATTGTAAGTACCATTTTAGTTTTTTCTAATAATAAATATGAGACTTGGTATAAATACACAATAAATATGAAACTTGATATAAATACTCAATAAATATGAGACTTGATATAAATACTCAATAAATATGAGACTTGATATAAATACACGATAAATATGAGACTTGATATAAATACACGATAAATATGAGACTTGATATAAATGCACAGTAAATATGAGACTTGATATAAATACACGATAAATATGAGACTTGATAAATATACACAATAAATATGAGACTTGATATAAATACACAATAAATATGAGACTTGATATAAATACACAATAAATATGAGACTTGATATAAATACACAATAAATATGAGACTTGATATAAATACACAATAAATATGAGACTTGATATAAGTGAGCAAAATCCAAGACAAAAATCCTGCCTGCTTAAGTACCTTTAACCGTATTTATTTTAAAGTTACTTTCAAACCAAATGCGTGAGAATAGTAACCTTACTTTCGTTTTGTAAACACCAGCGTAACACTTTCTAATTATAAATAAAGACTTCATAAAATTACGCAAAATACAACAAAAACGCCCTGTCAGCTAAGCTTAAGCCAGTCCGTTTTTCTCTCAATACGATTCCGAAAAGGTCCGAGCATGTTTCGACAATTACCAACTTCGAAGATTGTATGGTACATGTGGTTCGTCACACGAAACACACACGTTATCGTACCTGCTGAGATGGAGATTTCCTCATTGTTGATCACGTCTTGTTTGAAAGTGGACTGCGATTGACGGTTTATGGACCATTGTACTGTGTGAACACACTCGATGTGGGCCACAGTCAAAACATCCCTCCTCCGTATCGCTCGGTCACAAGGTTGTGGTGCAATTTACCGGGAACACATTGGCGATAACGAACCGGTGTTTTGTGACACTGAGCCCTGTAAAAGAATGTCACCAAGAAATGTGCCTGACAACGCATAACATTGTCAAATCTAAAGTAATTATTACGAGCGTCGGTGTGTTCGTTATTTATGCATTTGCACGAACATTAAGTCAATTCAATTCGAAATGTTTATGAGAATGTCTGTCAGAAAAATAAAAAAATAATGTCTGACAATACACAGATTCGACGAAGCTGTTATTACAAGCACCCGTGCGTTCATAATTAGTATATTCAAAGGTAAATGAAAAAAATTCAAACCAAAACGTTTCTTAGAATATGTATAATCACAATCAGAGGAAATAATATTTGGTCGCTTTTCAATTATTTAAGGCTGTAGAGGATGAATCTATATTGACGAGATTATTCCTTGTGTTAAGAACATTTTGACTTTTATTTCGCACAAGATTTGACAACGGTGGTGGTGTCCATTCAGTGAATTAAAGTAGTTTAAGAGGTTGCATCCCATTTTTGATAGCGCCTTGGTCACTGATCTGTTAAGGTGTGAGGTTTCGCAGTGAAAACTGGGACTAACAAAATGGAGCATATTAACCACTGTCAAAACTGGGAGAAGTAGCTGTACCAATTAAGGGTAATTATGTTAATCCGTTTGGGATCGATTCAATCACGATTGTGATTGTTATTGAAAATAAGTACCAGTGATATGAAAAAAAACGGGCAAGAGAAGAGCTGACAAGTGTGCCAAAGATTTACGAGGAAGAAAGGAGGAAGATTTTTGGATGGGTATGAAGAAGCAACAACTCAACAGACTGGAGCCCGACTTCAGATGTATGAGAGTATCATCAATCTTTCTGCCTGTGGAAGTATGCTGGCTGGCAGTGTTGCTCAGTAATTGATGACATGCCCTGTCGAACACCGGAGTGGACACCGAAGGTGTCTATAAAACTGTTATTCTGAAGTATTCACATACATGTTGCTCAGTGATTGGTAATTTGATTGACTACTGGTGAATAGTGATTAACTTTTAATAATAAATAATAAACTGTTTTATTTTCAGATTATCTTCACTCTACGCCTATTTGTAGTTGAAGAACACACAACCAACGAAACTTGTATTTGTTATTTTGCATACATTATCTATATTTACTGACTGACTGAGTTTGGTTTTACGCCGCTTTTAGCAATATTCCAGCAACATCACGGGGGATCTATATTTACATAAGTCACATTGGCAGCGAAATCGTGCTGGTATAACTGTGCTGTTATACAACATAGTAATAGTTTAGCAATGTTATTACTAGGTTTTAACTGAATTTCTACGCAGACAAAACGCCTTTATGTTTGAGAGTTGGCGATTAATGTACAGGTTGTCGTGTCAGGTGAACGCCAAACGAAAGACTGTGGAATTTTGCGCCAGTCAGATGTCAGCTTTCGAAAACGACTGGCAGTAATTTCTTAATCCCTTTATTCAGAAATTTCTTAGCCAGAAAAACCGGCTCAAACATACCTTTTGATAGCTGATGCTATTAGGTGTATAGCCTGTTTGCAGTGAAAACGTACTGGTGAATTTTCACTTTAAACAAAAATGTAAATCGAATAAAGTGAAATTAAGATTGCGAATCCTCATAATTCTACCTTGCCAACTGAAAATTTAAATCTTAGATTTTATTCAACTTAATTTATTTCATTTAATGTGCATACACCCTTGTCATACAAACCAATAATACCGATTTGAACCTATGATCGTTTGTTAAACAACTTGTATCCTAAGTTGAATAAAATTCTGAGATTTAAATTTTCAAATGGCAAGGTAAAATTATGAGGATTCGCAATCTTAATTTCACTTTATTTGATTTAGTTTTTTGTTTAAAGTGAAATTCATCGGTACGTTTTCACCGCAAACAGACTATAGATGACAAGGCAGTCACAGTGAGTGAGTTTAGTTTTGCGCCGCTTTTAGCAATATTCCAGCAATATCACGGCGGGGACACCAGAAATGGGCTTCACACATTGTACCCAGGTGAGGAATCGAACCCGGATCTTCGGCGTGACGGGCGAATGCTTTCACCACTAGGCTACCCCACTGCCCCATCAAGGAGCTCAGAAACGACCTGCTGCATGAAAAATCAACACCAACGTTAATTGAGCTACCTTCATTTTTCTGCATTTTTCTGCACTCTTCTGTTGTGTCCGTTTTTGGAATATAGCCATCAGATGTGCTTGTCTAACTGTTTTGCTCACTCTTACCGAGAATTCTACTTTGGCTGATTAGTCTTAAAGGCACTATATCACACCACTCTTCTCTAAAGAAAAATAATGCAATTCTCTCAATAATACTATCAATCCTAAGGGAAGCTAACATAAAATTTATTTTTAAAAAAAATCGCATTTAGATTACAATATTAAAATAAAAAGTTCGAATGAAATAATGCAACGTTCAAGCGAACCCCAAAGAGTTCATGTAACTCCTTTGGAGACAGAACTCAGTCCTAGACAAAATGACCGTACTGTCTGGCGCAAAAACACGCGCGCAACTTGGGATTGAAACCAGTTCGGCAAACACCGACAACACCACGTGCGACAGTTTTCGATGTACGGAGCAATTGTTTACATTCCATATATGGCAAGTGTTCTCTGTTAGGAAGCTGTTCGCCTCGAAGTTTCAATTATCGATTTCAGGCAAGTCGTAAGGGATAATAAGTATTTTGTTGCATCAACAGGAAGCTAATGTGAGTGCATATGCCCCAATATATATAATATAGGCCAAAATATTGTCGAAAATGTGTGACATTGTGCCTTTAATGTGCCGATAAGGGAATTTGACATGAAATCCTGTTTAGACGTTCTCAGATATCGTATTATTTCATTATACAAAGTGGTTGCATTATTTATGTCCAGTATAGATGACTATACATATAGGACACTGCTTCCTACGATTCACATCGAGTCGGGAAGAGGACGTCCGAATATGCATTAAACAGATGCGCCATTCATGAACATCCCCCAGCTTTTCTCCCAAATACCAGAAAATAGATTATACAACACAAGTCTATTAACACCGTTATCAAGCAAGTGATGTGCAGTACTACAGCATGTTCAGCTTGACCTGGGCTACTCTACATATGCATGACCCGGGAGGTCAAATGGCGCAAACGGAAGGACGAGTTAACTTCATTAAATAGGGGAGCAGAGAATGTTATTAATGTTGCGTTCGTGCGAAGCATGAATACTAGAATTCTTTATAGAACCTGTCCCGGAAAACAACACTTCTGAAAAAAACAATCATTCCATGTTTTAATTGAATTGTTTATACAGTTCTATGATATCTATTTTGGTTTGCTAACTTTACAAAGTACAGACGTCAATTACTTTCACAAGCCGATTCACTCTTATCACTCTCTACACCCATTTCAGTTATCACTTTTTCTATTTCATGTTCAACTGCAATATTTCTGTCCCAGTAGTTAGGACATTGCTGACGATTTCTCGACACTGAGTTGTCAAATGGCGACCTGGTCTCCGTTGTTCGGACATGTTGACAATCAACTGACAAAGGTACACCCCTTCACAATAATAGACCCAACCAGCTGTGACACGGTCACGCAACACATTAGTATTCAATTGATCAGGTCAAGCTGAACAAGCTGTAGAGGCAAGGCTATACATACATACAGTCCGTTTGGCTCAAAAGCGGACCGATGAATTGCAATCTAACTCGAAAACTAATAAACATAACATACTCAATGAAACGCTGATCATAATCAAAACATCATACCCACTCTGTGAGGTTTTTGCAGAATTTTTGTCCTAAGAATAATAAAGTTGTTTAACAAACTATCATTAAAGTATTGATACAGTTCACTGTTTGTTACGAGGGAGGAGTGCAGAGAAAGGGACAGCCAGGTGTTCGAAAAGGACGTTCACAAAGTTATTTATTCATTAACCTGTGCTGTGCCGTCTCCATCCGTTCTCGAACACCCAATTGCGTAGATCGAAGTTCATGATGTTGATCAATGGAGTGTCTGGTCCAGACTCGATTACTTACAGACTGCCGCCATATAGCTGGAATATTGAGTGCGGCGTTAAACAAATAACCAACTAACCAACCGAGAAAGAGCAAGGACTGCTTTGTCGCGAGTCAAATCGCTGGGTCTGAGTTGGATAATGGGACATCCTATCATCCACGGGTAGCCATTGGAGCCATTAAGCCTACTCACTCACTCACTCACCCGCCCACCCTATCACCCACTCACTCACTCACTCACTCACCCACCCACCCACCAAAACAGGGAAACCACGCTGTCTTTGCGAAACATAACATAATAAATTCACCTAATCCCTTCAGCGCTCTGGTCTAAGGGAAGCAACTCTTCCCGTACCTGATCTCCAAGTCCTCGTAAACACAGTTGGTCAAAGTGCATGATGAAGGTCTCACAACGAAGGTGACCGTCACTTCAGAGTGATTCCTGGACTGATTCATTTGTGGGAAAATAGTGTTCTGGTCTCAGGTCTAGGAGCTATTTTTGGAAGAGATCGACATGTCCGACACTTTCGACAATGAAAGCACAGGTAATGTCTATATGTTTCTGATTGTCTGTCATTCACAATCTGAACCAAGTATATCCAGTAAAGACAGGAGGCACATCAGAGTGGGTGGGGTGGGTAGGATGGACGGATGGACGTCAAAGTGGGTGGGGCGGGTAGAGTGGAGGGAGGGACGTCAAAGTGGGTAGGGCGGACAGGAGGGACGTCAAATTGGATGGGGCGGGTAGGGGGTAGGGGGAGGGACGTCGAAAGGGTGGGACGTGGAGGGAGGGACGTCAAAGTGGGTGGGGCGGGTAGGGTAGAGGGAGAGACGTCGAATGGGTGGGGCGGGGAGGGAGGGACGTCAAAGGAGTGGGGCGGGGGGAGGGAGGGACGCCAAAGGGGTGGATGGGAGGGACGTCAGAATGGGTGGGGTGTGGATGGGAGGGACGTCAAAGGGGTGGGGAAGGGACGTCGAATGGGTAGAGGGAGGGACGTCAAAGTGGGTGGGGTAGAGGGTAGGGACGTCGAAGGGGTGGGGCGGGTAGGGGAGGGACGTCAAAATGGGTGGGGCGGGTAGGTGGAGGGATGGGGCGTCAAAGGGGTGGGACGGTTAGGGTAGGGACGTCAAAGTGGGTGGGGCGGGTAGGGTAGAGGGTAGGGACGATAAAGTGGGTGGGGCGGGTAGGGTGGAGGGAGAAAATTTAATTTGACAGAAAGTACGAACATTTTCGACAATTTACTAGGCTAAAGAGAGTCAGACACTTCAAATTTCTTAACAAAAAAACAACAACTTTAATACATGTATCAAATACTCACCATAGAGTACTCATTAAAAATAGGATTGGGACGAGTGACCCGGATACCCGGGACGGGTGGGTACCCGTCTCAATACCCCGGACCCGTTATGATCATGTGACTCATAAATTAAACAATGTAATATGTTATTCTTTCATGATAAAAAGGCTGTTTTGAAGATTTATGCATAATTACAGTCACTTCTTTTGAATATAATACATGGTTAAGGTATTGAAAAGATTTTGCCTACGAGCTGAAAAATATATTGGCATTTCTTACGGATATCCGTGTAGGGTAGGGTAATAGGGGGTGGGGTACCCGGTTAGAAAATTTGGACCCGTCCCATCCCTAATTAAAAACACATTTTCGGCCACCAAATAAAATATTTCTTTGCTGGGCAAGGTTATTGTGTTAACAGATCCATTTATTATTCAGGAAGATGGGTCCTGATAGCATACTCACTCACTCACCTACCACTCACCCAAAACTGAGAAAACACACTTTGTGAAATATAAATATGATAAATTCAACCAAGAAGATCGGCCACGATAGCAAACGAAAATGCAAGCAATATGCATTTTTGAACATTTCAGATGAACAAACTGAAGAAACATTTACTAGAAGAGCTTGGTTACCTTAGATTGAAAAGCGTTACATTGACGGCGCAACTGAACATGCATGTATTTGGACCAGGGAAAAGCTTCGTGTTTTACATGTCCTTACACAGGATATCTACCATCGAAGCACACAGGTGTGGACACCCTTTAATCATACGTATTGTCCTTTACAAACGGTGTGTCACCATTTACCTCTCTGTATATACACATGGACAATGTATAAATATGCACAAAAAATACAAATGAAAGTCAGTTTATTTACAAAACAACAAGATTCATCAACACATTCATCAGCGATTTGATTTAATTATTATTTACATAAAATGATCACTTAAGCATCTTTTGCAATATAGAATTTGACTATCCATATAACGTGTTCCAAAAATGCCACTTAAAGACGTTATGCATTACGTGTTTGCAAAAAATTTACTAATCGAACGAAATGGATATCTGCTCTGTTGATTGCATAGATTCGAAAGGATATATATAAATAACGGTTGTTTACATTCCCTGAAAACCCGACGTCAAGAAACCACGTGACCGACGTGACGTGATGCACGCGACAACCAGGAACTGGTTGGCAGTCAATCGATTCACGGTGTTGTAATTGTGGTAAGTCTCATGTTACTATAACACAGTACAAACAAACAAACTTATAACTCTACCTTGGATTTTAGCAAGGATTTCGTTTAACTGTTGGATGTTATTTGGTGGTGAGTACGGGTGGTATTTCGCTTTTGGTTTAGCACAAGTGAGGACGGGATCTGTGAAGATCCGGGTTAGAATTTATTTTCAGCAACCTATACTTGTCGCTTGTCCCGACTGACGGGATCGGGGTGTCAGGTTCACTGGCCTGGTTGACACATGTCACGATATGCCCATTGCATAGATCGATGTTCATGATGTTGATCACTGGATTATCTGGTCTAGACTCGATTATTCACAGACGGCCGCCATATAGCTGGAATATTGCTGCATTAAACAACAAACCAGACTAAAAGTGAGGACAGAGCTTTCACTTTAATACAGAAAGTAGACTTTGCATCAACATATGTCTTTCTATTGTGTCAGGGTGTTGAAATTTCAAAATTGAAAATAACTACCCATCTCTGTGCTACTGTACAAAGTGTTTCCTAACACGGATTTATGTTAACACGGAATTATATTAACACGGAACTAATATTAACACGGATTTACAACAAAATTATAGTACTGTCAATCATGGCTTTGTGGTGATGTACATGCGTTCACCAGAGTTATGTTCTGTCGTGCGTTGTGCAATGTATGTATGCGTGCGTGCGTGCGTGCGTGCGTGTGACTTACTCTACAGATTTCACGGAACTAATACATCTAGAATTGTACATACGTTTTGATTATGTGTTAGTTTAGATCCATGCGTCCCTCAACATTCACTTCTTAAAACACTCGTATGTCATCAGTGACATTACTCATTCACCGTTAGAAAATGAAACAGGATATTAAAGCGTTTCAACTCACGCCTCACGCATACTGAAATTAACACGTAAAGGAAACGACTTTGTCGTTCTGGTTTCAGTTTGAATCAATCAAATTATTGTCCATCAATACGCTTTATGATTTAGGTCCTTGATTAAAAGCAATATTTATGAACCTATCATGGATTGGGTGGGCATTAATGTTCTAAATCATGATGAATAACTTGTGAAATCATGAAAAGCATTTCTTTACCTATACTGAAATAGTTTCTAGGTGGATGCAGATGGGATGTTTAGGGTTAGACAAATAAAATGTTTTTCCTTGATATACGTTACTCACTGTTGTGTACATGTATTGCCAACAGAGTTGTGAGTCTAAAGGCATAAGAGTTATCCCCCTTCCCTACTCCGGCACTGACGAATGCACCTTTGTCCTTCAGTTCGTTCCACGAGGCGTCTTCTGTCGTCACTTATTTTCAATCTGACGATGCATGTCACATTCAGGTTTACGCAAACGAATGTCCATTTACAGCTTTTTCCGTTTTATTAAACCTACAAAAGTAGCACTTGTATTTCTTTAACCCTTACGTTTTACTACAGATGGCGACTGCCAAGAAACTGACAGACCACCACCTCACCTGTACCATCTGTACCGAGGTGTTCACAGACCCTGCCACACTTCAGTGTAATCACACATTCTGTAAGTCCTGTCTGTTGAAATACACCAACACACAGCCTGAAGCAATACAAGCCAAGTCCATCCCATGTCCCTCCTGTAGACAACTGACGAAGGTGACCACCCCTGACAGTCCAGTAGAGGAGTGGGTCAGTCAGCTGAAACCAAGCCATGTCATACAGGGGCTGATGGACGACTTTGGACCAGAGAGCAAAGGTAACCAATTGAGAGTTTAATTTTAAGTTTTTGTTGTGGATTTTTGCTTTGCTTTCCTGTAAACTGCATACATAATTCGAAATCTATTTTGGAAAGTTTGATAGATTTTTTCTTCATTCACATTACATTTGAAACACCATCGTATGCCTATAAGATAAAAAATTATCAGACTGAGTACAATGTAATGGATTTTAATAATTTCCAATGCATTCCAATATCCAGAACAAAAACCACCTTGCTCTTGGTCATTACAGCGGCCCATGTAAATATCTGCAGTGTTTGCAAAACACAAGAGAAGTCAACTCCAGCCACCTCGTGGTGCTCCGTCTGTGACGAGGTCTTCTGTGATGGATGTCTGAAGATGCACAATATGATTCCATTGTCACGTGACCATGAAGTTGTGGGTGTGTCTGATACTACCAAAAGAAAAGCCAAGCAACGCTTCATGTGTAAAATCCACAAAGAAAAACAGATTGAGTTGTTCTGTAAGGATTGTAGGAAGGCCATTTGTCATACATGCTGCAGTATAAAACACAGGAAATGTGACGATGTTGATACGTTAGATAATATGACCCCTGTTGTCAGAGAACACCTGTCAAATCAAAACCAAGACCTGAAACTCAAAATGACAACTTCAGAAAAGAAAATTATCTTCAAGAAATCTCAACTTGAAAAATAGAGTCTAATGCGCAAAGTACCAAAGATGAAATCAGGCAATTACGTCAGAAAGTGGTAGAAGTGATTTTACGGAAGGAGAAACAACTCCTTGATAAAGTTGATATTGGTTTCCAATAAACCATTGCAGGAATTACAAGCAGAAATAAAATCCCAGGAGATTGAGCTGCAGATGTACCAGCAACAGTATGAGTTCACAGCCAATGCTGTCACGTCCAACTGTGAGATGGACATGTATGCCGTCTATGAGTCGGTGGGTGAGGAGTCGACAGACAACAGAGACAGGGACAACCGACCAGCACCAGGAAGGGTTGTATTCACTCACGACATGGACAAGCTGAGTAAAGCAGTGGATGAGCTACAGCTAGGGAAGGTTGAAGTTGTCAGTGGTGTGAGTGACCACCAGTCTACCCCTGTTCTACATCACACTATTGACTGTAAGGCAGATGATGACAGTGGGGAGCCTTATTTGTTTGACGTCACAGTGTTGACTGTTGATGGTATAAAAGTAACAGTAGTTGCAGATAACACTAACAACAGCATCAAAACATATCAAACATCAAAACAAAACACACTAAGTAATCGTCTACTACTTTCCGATAGTCCTCATCAAATAGCAAAGCTAAGTGAGAGTCGGATAGCTGTCAGTGTTCCGGACAGTCAGGAAATAGTTACAGTGGATGTTACTCCAGATCCTGTATTGTTGTCAACTATCAAAACAGCTAAAACGTACTACGGTCTGGCCTGTCTGGGTCCTTCACAGCTGGTGGCAGGTACGAACCTACAGTCTCACTCTGTGGACATACTGGACATGACAGGGAAGATACTGAAGTCTATCAACACGGGTGTCATAGAGAATCCAGACTGTATCCATGTCACCAGAAATAACAACTTGATAGTCAGTGAAGGATTAATAAACTCCCTCGTATCTGTGACCAGTGAAGGAGAAGCTGTTTTCACC